TAATTATAGAAGTATATTTAAAAGTAATTAAGTATAAAAGTGAAAGTGATTTGTATACTAAATATTGGAATCTGTGAGTAGATAAAATATACCATGGATTTATATATTTAAGTAAACAACTGCAACTAGTTATAAGTATTATCCAATTTCTATGAACTGGTATCACAACGAAAGCTGTAAAACAGCACCGGTTTTAGTCGGATTTTAAATCCATTTAAAAGATGTCATCTTCCAGTCAACTACCATAAAATACATCATACTCAAAAGCAGTTAGTCAACCACGTAGTATATTAATCCCAGGCAGAGATCAAGCTATTTTATTTAACACTCTAGAGAATTGTACAATTAATGACTATCTTGAAGGATTAAGTCAGCACATAGAACAGAAAAATATAATTTTCTCATCCCGTATATCAAAACGGTAGAATATGCATATATCTATCATCCAAAAACCTAGTAGATAAATTCATAGCAGAAACAAAGAAGATAATAGTAAATGGAAATATACTAGAAGCGAGAAGATTAATAACTCCATCAGTCCGCCTAATTCTGTCCAATGCATGTCCAAGCATACCTTCTAACTTAATAATGGACGAATTAATAAAACTAGGTTTAAATCCCCTCTCAGACATATCATACCTACGGATAGGAGCAACCAATCCTGCCTTTAGTCATATTCTAAGTTTCCGAAGACAAATTTTCGTTTCACCTTTTCCAGACAACTTTGTACTACCTGAATTTTTTATTATCGAGTTGGAACAAATATCATACCGCATATTTATAGCCCAAAACGAAAATTGTTTCAAATGAAAATTAACTGGATACCATGCAGCTAATTGTCCAAATATTTCACCTTCTAATCATTCTCACAATGATAGTGCAATACAAACAGAAATGAGACAAAATTCATCAATAAATCATACTCAACAAGATAATCCAAAAAATACTCCCGCAATCTCAAATACCACTCCCTCCACACTTACTACGTCTTCTCAAATCACATTACAAACAGTAGCAATCCCAAATTTATCAATAAAACAAACCCAACAGTGCTCACTACAAAATACATCTATACATTTGACCACTTCTCCAGTTAACACTACAATCGCAACACATTCATCGTCTGAGTCATCCTCTAATACCCAAAAACATAAATCAACCTTACCCGAAACAAGTCAACACTTACCTCCAAATAAAATTACACATTTGAATTCTCACGAACCCCAAAAACTTCGAACAAAGCAACCGGAAACAGAACCCTAGAAGATGCAATCACGCCACCCTCCGAAGAAAACTTTTGAAAAACCTAAGCTTTAACTAAAGAAAAAAACCAAAACTGATGACAAAAATTTAGGAAATGATATACCAAATCTCCAAACATTACTAGAACCAGTTAGAGAATATATAGAAAGGGAAAAGCAATTGTTAAGCTTCGATCAAGTAGTGGATCTATTCGAAAATATACAAGAATCAAAAGACATATTCAGCGTAACAAAATTGTACTCAGAAGACTCTCATGCACTTATAAAGTTTCTATCGGAATTACATCCATACTACATCGACAGAAGAATGAAAACCAAAAGCACCAAATTAATACGAACAGTTGGCAAACACATAGGTCTTCTCTCTGCAGTGAAAATTCCATTGTCGAAAGAAGATTCCGACTCATCGATAAATAATTCCTCTAAAGAATAATTACATTCATTTCTCTGCTTCAATGGAACTTAAATGGGTTTTACACCCATTTTGAAAAACTAAAACATATTATCTCTGAAACACACCCATCTATTATTATCTGTCTACAGGAAACAAATTTTAAAAATCCAAACCATGTATATAACTTTCGTAATTATTCATGTTTTTATAATAACAGATTAAACCAAAACATTGCCAGTGGAGGAGTAGCAATTTACGTGGATGAAAAATTCATGAGCACACAGTTACCAGTGACTTCAAATAACATTGAATTAATAACTATTGCAATACATATACCTCAAAAGATTTATATATGTAATATGTATATCCCACCAAATCAAACTATATCCCAAGAAGATTTAACAGCTATTTTAGAACAAATTCCTTCACCTAGAATTATCGTTGGAGATCTTAACTGCCACAATCCGATGTGGGGTTCCATAAAACTCAACCCAAAAGGGCGAATTATAGAAGGTATTATAACATCCCAAAATCTGAATCTACTTAACGACGGAAGACCAACCAGATTCAACATACATAATGGCACATCATCGGCAATTGATATTTCGCTGTGTGACCCAGTTCTGTCCACTACGTTAACATGGGACGTTCTACCCTACTTATATGGTAGTGACCACTACCCCATTATAATTTCTTTAACGCATCAAAAAACCACAAATATCAAATCGCCTATCTCAAAATGGAATATTGAAAATGCTGATTAGACTAATTTTAGCAAACAGATCGAATAGGACATTAAAAAAACCAACTTTACATCATCAAACGATATTGACAAGTTTTTAAGCACATTTTTACAAATCCTCACAGCAGCTGCAGAGACGTATGTAAGAAAAACGAAAATTTTAAAAAAACATAAACCTCTTCCGTGGTGGACATCTGAATGCAGCCAAGCTACAAGAGCATATAAGAAATCTTTCAATAAACTAAAGCATCATAAAACAGACGAGAATATAATGGACTACAAAAAACGAAGAGCTGAGGCAAGATACATTCTAAAAAAGAATAGAAAAGAATCCTGGAGAAAATTCATCTCATCTCTTAATACCTCTTCAAGCATAAGTACAGTTTGGAAAAACTTAAGGAAAATCTCTGGCAAAAGCCAACCATATAAGATTCCTTTTTTAGCAAAAAATAACAAAATAATTAGTGATAGAAAGGAAATCGTAGATTTGTTAGCCGACCAATACGAATTAAATTCCAGTGACAAAAATTACACTGATAATTTTAAAATACATAAAAACAACGTAGAAAAAAAACGTATTGGGATTCGACGGACATTAGATTCACAACCTTAACGTTCCTTTTTCCTTCATAGAACTTGCTGACCAGACGGTATCCCCTTAGCATTTCTACTACATCTACCAGACAATGGAAAAACTTTATTACTAGACCTTTATAATTTTATCTGGATTAATCAGGTTTCCCATCAACTTGGTCTGAAGCAAAAATACTACGACTTCTTAAACCTGAGAAATCCCGGACATCACCTGAGTCATATCGACCAATATCTTTAACCAATATTATATGTAAAGTGTTAGAGAAAATGGTAAATAAAAGGCTGAGATGGTATTTAGAACAACAAAAACTCCTTTTTCCACAACAAAGCGGATTTAGGCAAAATAGATCCACTATAGATAACCTAATAGACTTAGAGTCAGGGATACATGAAGCATTTGCAAATAAGCAAGATTGTATCGCAGTTTTTTTTGATATTAATAAAGCTTATGATACTGTCTGGCGATACAATATCATATCAAAATTGCGTAATTGGAATATCAGAGGCAATATGTTAAAGTTTATTTCCAATTTTCTTCATTCTCGCAGCTTCATAGTTCGATCAGACAACGCTAACTCAGATAAAAAAGTTCAAAAGAACGGAGTACCACAAGGATCAGTTATAAGCTCAACCCTTTTTCTAATAGCCATAAACGACATACTTCAACAATGCTCACCGATTGTTAAAGGAAGATTATACGCTGATGACTTGGTTTTATTTGCCAAAGGAAAAAACCCTACATCTATTCAAAAACATTTACAACAAACAATTAATCATTTAGAATCATGGTCTAGGTCTATCGGATTACAATTTTCACCGACAAAAACAAAATGTATTTTATTCACACGAAAACATAACACTCTAATTCCACATCTAAAACTATATAATCAAACCCTTAGTTTCACAAATAATATCAGATTTTTAGGTATGGTTTTCGACCAAAAGCTCTCCTGGAAAAAACATTCAGAAGAACTTAAAAAATCATGCCAAGCAGGACTTAATTTCATGAAAACTATTTCCAGCAAAAACTGGGGAGCAGATCAAAATACACTATTACATGTATATAAATCTTTAATTAGATCCAAACAGAGATGTTAATAGGGCAAGAGGAGGTCATACCCATTATAAAAAAATTAAGTGTTAAGTTTTAAATTGTCAATAACCCTATATATGTTAATAATAAAAAAAGCTTAATTTGCTTAATGAATTCATTTCACTATGTTAAACATAGGAAGCCGAAATAAGTTTTTATAAATTTATACTCACATTAAAGCATATTAAATTGTCTTTCAAACAGTATATTTGTTTTTGTGATCTGACGAATATTTCTTGAAAAAAATATAGTTTAAGTCAAAAGTTTACAGTGGGCCGATTTCTATGCACGCAAGTTTATTATTAGGGCAATATACGTTTTTATTTTTTTTTATTTTTATTATTATAACTATTACTAGGGTGGTAATAAATTCGTAAAAACCTAGCAGAGCACTGTGGTATATCATAAATATTATTTTTGTAATTCTACTAGTTTTAATCGTAAGCCAGCAAAATCGCTCCCCTTAAGGGTGGTTTGGTGGTGAAACATTATTAGGGTGGTAATAAATTAGTAAACAATGGTTAAAAAAATATAACATCGGCAAAAAGTTTTTTTTTTAATTCTGCTAGCTCGAACCTTAAGCCATCAGAATCGCACCCATTAAGGGTGGTTTGATGGTGAAAAATTATTAGGGAGGTAATAAATGAAGTTAAATTGGATTCCGCTCATTTGTCTCCGCTAGCTTAAGGGTCCTTCCACATATCTTGAAATAAACGGCTACTGCTACTTGCCTTTCCTTTATCAATTAATTTTAGTTTTTTTTGTTCTCTATTAAAGTCCTGCAAAAAAATCAATATAAATCGGACTTCGAGATCGATATTTTTAGAAAACATATACCCACGTTATATATCCTTTTCACACTTTATTCTAGCAGGATTATAGGAAGTTTGATTTTATAGAGAAAACTATACATACTTTTTTCTTCCCTCTGATTCGCTTGCCAATATGATTCCTTTTATTACGTAGTCAGCTGGTATATAATCTACTATATTATCTTTACGTCCATAAATTATCCTTACAAGTCCTGTAGAAGAAAATATTTTTTAGTTATTTTATACAAGAAGTATGAGAAAATATCAGGAACTTGGAAGCATAAAGGCGAACTACAAAAACACGTTTCTGGAAAACTGAGTATAAAGTTTAAAAACATGTTAGACTATAGTGTATTTTTATGTATGAGAGAGTAATAAAACAATAAATTATGTATGCAAATCCCTAAACTGTTGATACGGGTGACTCAATGAAAAACAGATATTTGTCAACAAGTTTACAGAAGTATATAGGAAAACAATTTTAAATTGAGTATGACCACCAGGTATAAAGGTTGGAGCAGAATAGAATACAATAGTTGTGAGGGTTACTAATCCCTAAATAAGGTTGCCAGTGTCGGAGTGATGAGGTTAGGTATGAATTGCAAGAATGTAGATTTATTTATTGCTTATATATAACCAATAAAAGTTTAATAAGTACCTACCTATTTACAAAATAAAGTTTAATTCTTTAGATAAAATAAAACGTTTTATTTTATCTGAAATGAGTGCATTCCACGAAGTAAGGGTTTCAACAATCAAACATTTAATTCTTTAATTCCAGGAATCTACGACAGTAATTGACTAGATAATTACCTTCTAAACTTATTCCACAGAAAATGTGATAGTGGGTTTTTCCATTTTGTAGGAAGGTCCAAGTGGCGTATTCAAAATTCTTAACAGTTCACTAAAAGTACGTACTTCAGTTGCAAGGTGCAGTTTATTGTGTATACTAGTGTTATGGAAAATTTGGAAGTGCCGTGTAAACGCCGAAAAATTGGCCCTTTAACAGTTAATGAAAAAACATTAATATTTAATTATTTTAAATCATTTACAGACAAACGTTTATGTGAAAGTGTTTATGAGACCGTTGAGTTAGTTAGCAGTACACTTGGTGTTGGGAAATCTACGATTTACAGAGTTATTAAAGAAGAGAAATGTGGTAGTTTTCAAATGCCACGTAATGCTCCAGGGAAACCAAAATTTCAAATAGAATATCATTTTAAAGAAGGACTTCGACGGAAAGTGCACGAATTCTTCTTTAGACAAGAATTTCCAACATTGGATAAAGTTCTTGTCTCAGTTCGAGATGATAAGGATTACCCAGAAATGAGTCGAATTACGTTATGGAAACTTTTGAAAGAAATAGGCTTCCGCTGGAAAAAGAATCCCAGAAAGTCTATTTTATTAGAAAGAAGCGATATTGTCATATGGAGAAGACATTTTCTAAGAACCATAAAGGAAATGAGAAACCAAAAAAGAAAAATATTTTATCTTGATGAAACATGGATCAACGAGGGTCATACACCAAATAAATTTTGGCAGGATGAAACTGTTACAAGTCAAAGGCACGCTTTTGTAAATAACTTATCTACTGGTTTAAACCCACCATCAGGAAAGGGACGCAGGCTGATAATAGTACACATTGGCAGTTCAGACGGTTTTGTTGAAGGTGGTTTATTAACTTTGAATCAACTCGTACCGGTGACTACCATGAAGACATGAACGCTGATGTTTTTCAAGAATGGTTCGAACAAATGATAGATCTTCTTCCTAAGAACTGTGTAATAGTAATGGATAATGCAAGTGATCACTCCAGACTTATAGAAGGACTGCCCACAACCAAGTGGTTAAAAAAAGACTTGCAGAATTGGCTTAGTTCAAAAAATATTACGTACCATCCCGGATCTATAAGAAAGGAACTTATTCGTTGTGTGCCCTTCATAAAGAAAAATTTAAAAAATACGAAATTGATGAAATTGCCAAAAATCGTGGAATGACAGTACTTAGATCCCCACCATATCATTGTGAATTAAACCCGATTGAACTGGTATGGGCACAGATAAAGAGTGAAGTTTCAAGAAAAAATACCACTTTTAAAATTCATGATGTTAAACAGTTGTTTTTGGAGGCCGTAAATAATGTAAAACCTGAAAACTGGGAAAAGGCAGTAAATCACACTATTAAAGAAGAGAAAAAAATGTGGAAGCTGGACAATATTACTGATAAAATGATCGAGCCAGTTATTATAAATCTTGGTTCTGAAGTTCACTCTGAATCTGATTTGGATTTGTAACAAGTAGCTGTAAGTTTTATATTAATATTTTTATTCATCTATTTAACATACCTTAGACGGTTTTAAAAACTCTTTTTCTCTTTTGTAATTTTTAAAAATTAAAAAAAATGTGAATTTTTTAAAACCCTTTTTAATGTAGGCCAGTCAATTCTAATATAGTGTGTGATAAAAGAGGTCACTTTTGTTTACATACACATAACACTTTATAACACTGAAATAATTCATTTATTTTTTACAATTATTCAAAGTAATTTTTCAATTAATCTTGAGCACGCCCATGGAGTGGTCGAAGGTACCAGTTAAAATTATGCTAATTACTCTCTCGTTCATAAAAATAAACTATAGTAAGGGCGAACAAGCTTTTTTTTATTAACAAAACTTAAAAGAGGATAAGTTCTGAAGCTATTTATTTATGGCATGCTTGATAAAGGTATAGCTTTACGGGATTTAGTAACAATTGGCTGGTAATGTAATTTTTAAGAAAGAAAAAGTTTTTTTTAATGTAATATCATTACAACCAATTGTGGCTTAATGCCATAAAACTATACCGTTAATAAAAGAGGATTTTGCAAGATTTTTATAAAATAAAAAGAAAAGGGGATGTAATATTTTTAATTCTAAGCGTGAAAGCTAATAGCAGTAAAATAATTTGCAAAATTCACAAATATTGCTTCAATTAAACTCAATTTAATTTTCATCAACTACACTTTCTTCTTTAGTTGTACTACGTAGATCAGTGGTTCCCAACCTTTTTCCCTCGAGGACCACAAGATCTATAAGAAAACGTCTGCGGACCACATGATTTCATAACTAGGTAAATTAAATTGAGAACTAGAGAAATATATTTTAAATCCTTTAATATACATTGTATTAAGAGTAAGTAATTAGAAAAAAAAACATAGTTATAGTCCTAATATAGTTATAGAAACATAAATCTATTGTAAAACGCTTACAAAATATGACACTAAGTCTCTCAGTGACTTCCTTGGTTTTGCATTTTACTGGCAAGATCTTCGATATTTGGCTTTCTAAGAGGTCAAACTCAACCTGAATGGAGCATCCAATTTCAACAAACTGTTACGATGCTTAGTCTTAATAACATTTAGTGTTGAAAATGCTGTTTCACAAAGATATGTAGAATTGAAAGGAAGTAGAATTTTCAAGGCTTTTTGGACTGAGAGTTTGGTACTCATCAAGTAACTTGATCCAAAAGCTTGCAATATTGTCACATTGTGTTTTGACAACTTCAAGCTGAGGATCAGAAGATATCTCAATAAGTTCTTCCTGTTCATTACGTGTAAGATCAATATCCTTGAGTGGTAAAAAAGGAGTTGCCACCCACAAGTTTTTATGACGTCAAAACTGGCAGGGAAATAGTTGTCAAAATATCCTTGCGATGCTATGTAAGCCTTTACCAAAGATGACAGCTGTTCTTTATTTATATTCATACCTTTCGTTTCTATTATAAATTCAGAAAACAGATTAAACATAGCAAAAGATCCTTTCTCTACTTCAGTTTGCCATAACTTTAACTTTTGCTTAAATGCAGCAATTTTTTTCCCACAGATCGAATACTGTGTGTGAGGGCCCTTGAAGACCAAGATTTAGCTCATTTATAATTTCAAATATATCAGTCAAAAAAGCAAGTTTAGCCACCCATTGTCCATCCCGAAACACAGCTGCTAGTTCTGGATTGTTTTTGTCAAGGAGCATACAAACTTCCTCTCTAAGTTCATAAAATCTGGCCAATACACGCCCTCGGGATAACCATCGTACTTCGGTGTGGAGGAGAAGTTTGGAATGAAGCGAGCCCATATCATCACAAAGCGTAGCAAACAATCTTGAATTAAGAGCTTTTGCTCCGGATTAAATTCACAGCCTTTACAACTGTAAGGAGGACTTCATTGAGTTCAGGACTCAACTGTTTGGTTGCTAGCATTTCTCTGTGAATAATGCAGTGTGTTATTTGTACTTCGGTCCCCGCTTCTTTCAGTACAAAAGTTTTAAGGCCTTGTTTGGAGCCTGTCATAGCAGCCGCGCCGTCAGTACACAATCCAACACAGTCTTTCCAAGATAGTTTATGCAACTTTAAATACCCATCAACAGCATTAAAAATGTCCCGACCTTTTGTATGACCTTTCAGTTCAATAGATGTCATGTATTCTTCATTTAATTTCTTTTCTTCATTATCAATGTATTTTACATACACCAGTAAAATTGCTTTATTTGTAACATCGGTAGACTCATCTAATTGCAAAGAAAACCACTTAGATTGGTGAAGCTTTATTATGAGTTGGTTTTCAACATCTGCTGCCATCGATTCAACTCTTTTAGTAACTGTATTATTTGATAGAGCTATGTTTTTCATTTTTTTAGCTGACTCTTCACCAAGTACTTCTTTAGCGGCTTCAAAAATACAGGGTAAAATTAAATCTTTTCCGATTGTAAATGGGTTTTTTTGCTTTTGCTATGTTCAATGAAATTAAAAAAGAATCTTTTAAAGCAGCCTTATCCTGAGAAGAACACTGTTTCATTACTTGTTTTGCATTTTTAAGCTGAGTTTCCTTGCGCATGAAAAATTCTTCTTCAAAACCACTTTAAAACTAACTAAACTTCTTTAAAAGTAAATCCATATTTTAAGTATTCTGGGCTGTACTATTGGCTGGTTTTCTACTTTTGGGTTCACTTGAAACAAACCTGTCACTAACACTCGTACTAGTACTAGGTACGGGTTCACTTTCATCATGTGCTCTTTTTAAAAACTTGTACGTGACACTAGATACTACGACAGACAAATGGCCATGGAACTCAGGAGAAGGTAGACAATGCTGGGCGGGGGTGCGGCTACACAGCGGAGTAGGGGAATGACTGAGCTTGAGAGTGGTGGAAGCATGTGTCCGCCCGCCCCGCAGTGACTATTAACAGCCTACCCTCTCCGCGCTCGCGCTGTGCCACTGCCACTCCACGCCTAACATCAGAAATAAAAACAGCATTACTCATGTGGCATACTTTCATAACAAACGTATCTCCGAGGATGAATGTCTCATTATATAGCCAGTAAAAACATTGTTATACTCGTATTGATGAAGAAAACCGTGAATTATAAGACGTACTCTAAAACAGCCCGCGGACCACAAGTGGTCCGCGGACCACGGGTTGGGAACCACTGACGTAGACGAACATAACGACAAAAGAGTAAAATTAAATACAGTCAGTAGAAATGAAATATATGGTGGCCTAACTTATACAAGAAGAGAGTCTGTTCAACTGAGAGTGCTCTCTCACGACAAAGTATCATTACTTTGAATATTCGTCTGTGAACAAGGGTAATATTTGAACATAGAAGTTTATTCATACACTCAATTTTGATGATAATGTTACTTATTACTATAGTAATTTCAATGTCAGTAAAGTTGACCTACAAACCATTCAGCTTCCTAAAGCAAAACCTTATTCTTCTAGAATGCTACCTCTAAAGAAAGAACCAATTAAGGACCTTAAGAAAGCTGTAAACCACGTTTCCCATAAATTGTTTTCTTTGCAGATATTATAAATTTTTCAGAGCAGAATCATTAGAATATAAGTGTTCTTAGTAACTTGTAGCAATGTTTAGTGTTTTAGCAATATATGCTGTAATGTGTTTAAGTCATAATCAACTATGATTGAAACATAAAAATAAATTTTTTAATGGACACAATTTTTATGAACACATATTAATGTGGGTTTTAAAAACATTCACAATATTAATCATTTACTACAATAAATTACCTGTTCCTGCAGCGGTAATTAATCCATTTGGTCCATTAAAATTATCAGTAAATCCTTCAATTGGATCGGATAGTGTGTGAATTACTGCAAAAAACAAAAAAATATTTTTATCTAATAAAGTCTATTCTATGATGCTTCCGTGACGACGCCATGTTGTGGCGCTAGTTCCGTGACTAGCAAGTAATACAACGCAAATATATTATACTCCATTCCACGAATATACGACTGTTTTAAATTCGATTTAAGGTCTCTATTTGAATGGTCTAATGTGCTTAATTGAACAATAGTAAATTCTCCCTATTTTTAAAATACTGTTATGACTTAAAATTTAAATATGAAGTCATGATATAAATATAGAGTTGATAATTTATAGAATAGTTATAATTCAGATTTTGAAGTATATAATTACTATCATTGATTTTAGTATTGTAAACAAGTTGGTTTTTGAATTAAGTGATTTAAACGAAGTGTAACAATACTTAGGTGGTTAAATAGTGTAATTTATTTAGTCTAATATTCAATTAGTATTAAGAAACCAAAAAAAACTTACTTATTCTCCTAATCTCCTAAAACTATCATCAACCATCAGATTCACAGAACTTCACCATAGGAAAGTATATTAAATACAAAGTTATCTAATTGATGGATTCGACCGTTACTTGATGGAAATTCATTTTATGTAACAATAAAACACTGAAAACTTCGTTTTCAAACTTCCACAAAATTTATTTTAAATATTATCACTACAGCTGTTTCGGCTGATTGCCTTTCTCAAGTGATCTATTTTGGCTTGGGTTTACAAATTTATAGTCTCTAATGAAATAGGTTGAGGAGGGGAGAACTGTTTGTCTCAAGTTGGTCATTCAGAATTATATCTGTGTTTTTTAATTTGTTGATTTCCATAGATTCTAACAAAGATAGCTTAAGGCCTTTATTTTGAATATGAAGAATTTTAAATTTGTCATTAAACGCACATACGCACTTCACCTCCTAGATCATAATCATTCTTTTAATGACAAATTTAAAATTCTTCATATTCAAAATAAAGGCCTTAAGCTATCTTTGTTAGAATCTATGGAAATCAACAAATTAAAAAACACAGATATAATTCTGAATGACCAACTTGAGACAAACAGTTCTCCCCTCCTCAACCTATTTCATTAGAGACTATAAATTTGTAAACCCAAGCCAAAATAGATCACTTGAGAAAGGCAATCAGCCGAAACAGCTGTAGTGATAATATTTAAAATAAATTTTGTGGAAGTTTGAAAACGAAGTTTTCAGTGTTTTATTGTTACACAAAGTTATCTACATCTAAAACACGTCTCGGCGTTTTTTGGCTTCAATAAACAAATACACTACACTAAAATCTCTCTTAACGGCACCTTTCTTCATCGGACACCTCTATACGGACAGTTTTTAAAACTATAATCAGTCGGCGATATATGAAACTGTATATAAATGTTCGTTACTAATATCTGTAACGACTCGGTACTTCAACTATCAATAGCCGGTATGTTATACCCGTTACTTTCGGAACTTTTAAGAGTACATCCACTCAAATCAAACAAATATTTAAAACTAACAAAGTGAAATTATAGATCCTTTTTCTGGTTTCCAAACCATCGTTCTGCCAATTTCTTTTCATTTATATTAAAAGTATATTTCTTTTTATTACAGTTGTAGTATCCAATATATTAATAAAAAGTGTGATATCAAAAGAACCCGGCACGCCTCTTTGGTGTTTACATTTCACCGTTTCACCGTTGTAGGACCGTTTGCGTAAAAATTTTTGTTATTTTCGGATTAAATTTCACAATAAATTTTGCGTCTATCTGAACATATATTAACTGAAATAATTTTAGTGTGTCAAACTAACAGTAAATCCATTTTATTGGAATACTGTTTAGACCAATTTTCTTTCATACTTCTACTTGCACAGTAAAATATTCGTTGTCGTAATAATCCAAAACAGTCGTATATTCGTGGAATAACCTATACTTGCTCCTGTGATATTTTTAGTTTTTTATTTGATTTACTTGTATTCTAGTATAATGTTTTATTAGAAGAATACAAAATAAAAAAGATTTGAGCTGCAGTGTAGGTGTACACTATTTTAGAAGTCACGCATATTTTAGAAGGCAATTTGAGGACCAAATTTTGTCTCTATTTAGGCCAAAGTAAGTAAGGCCTCCGATAGGGGCTGCACGACCTTGACGTAGGTTCGGAGGCTTAAGCTGACTGTTCAGATAGGGCTGTAGTCTGGCGTAGGAAGTGGAACAAGTATGTGTGTGTGAATGAATAGGATCTCACTAATAAGGAGCTCTCTTTTGAATGAAGGTACCCCCTATAAAGGGGCTAGGCCTAGTGAATGGAAAGTATAGAAAGGTGTGAAATGACCACGCTGGAACAGTTCCTGTCACCACATAGCCCTCTGGGGTATCTGGGAATCCTTCCCAGGTATTCGAGAGAGTAGGAGTGGAAGAACTGTTTCAGCGACCAAGAAGCAGCCTACCCAAGCTAAGATGTGAGGTAATCGTTCCAATGGCTGTATGAATAATGGATGAGCAGCAACTGTGATGAACTGGGAGATTTACTAAAAAAGCATGACTGCTTTAATGCATACAAAAAGATTAAGGAAGTCACAAATATGAAGGAAAAAATCACTACAACAACTTTGGTAGATGATAACAACCAAATAGTATCTAGTCCAGAAAATGTAGGAGATATGTGGGAAAAATATATTAAAGATCTGTTTGATGACGAGAGAATAGAACCACAAATGAATATAGTATAAGAAACAATACTTGATGTATTAACATCGGAAGTTATAAAACCAATCAATACGCCACGAAAAGCCTTAGGTCCAGATGAAATATACGTAGAGATGATAAGCAATGAAGAAAATCTTCAGACGTTAACTGTATTATTTAACAAAATATATACCACTAAAATCTTCCCGGAAGACTGGCTTAGGTCGACATTTATAACTATACCCAAGAAAAATAAAGCAAATAGATGCTCACAGTTCAGATTAATTAGCCTGATGAGCCATTTTCTGAAAATTTTACTCAAAATTGTACATCAACGAATATACAGAGAATGCGAAAGAAACCTAAGCGACAATCAATTTGGATTTCGTATGGGGATTGGTAACCGTGGCCGGTCTAGCTTTCGTGGAGGAGGAGCTCTGAACTGAGTAGGGGCTCTTCTGTACTTCACGGAAGACAGACTGGGCGGGGGATGTCCTCAACCTCGACACGGCACGTCCCATATGGCTGATAGGGAAAGTTCCTGCAGATATGCAGGACAGGTACGAATAAGGCATTGCCAAATAAGTACCCGCGGATCAACTGAGGATATGACATTAGGCAGCAGTAATGTCATTACTGGATTAAGGCTGTGAGAAGTAAAAATCCTGTAGGTTTATTCCAGATACTCACAGGCGTCACTCACATTATGAGTTAAGCGGCTGTGATACTGCGATGGGGAAGGCAACTAGAAACCACCCCATTATGATCCCTAGTAAAGTTATCATGGAATCAATGAGTGTAACGAATACTACTGATCATGGGCTGCGGAACTCAAGATCCGGCAGGGGAAGGAATACACAATCAAACCACAGGGCTTCCCAGGTCGCTATCCAGCGAAATCCCTGTGAGGAAAACATCACTAGACATACGATGAAAATGAAGAATCCATACAAACTGGCTACATGGAATGTAACAACCTTATATGAAGCCGGTAAGTTGAGAAATCTACTCTCTGAAATGGACAGATTAAACATTACTATCATGGGGGCGAGTGAAACAAGATGGCCAAACAAAGGGAATTTTAGTGCAAATGGTTACGCCGTTTATTTTTCTGGAAATCAAGACCATATGCATCGAAATGGAGCAGCAATAATTATCAAACAGCATATTAATAAGTATGTCACTAACTTCATCCCAATATCAGACAGAGTAATTTTAATACAGCTGAATGCTAAACCTGTAAATATAAATATCATCCAAGTTTATGCTCCCACTACTGACGCAGATGAGCAGAATATTGAAGAATTCTACCATCAAATAGAAGAAGTGCTAAAAATAACAAAGAAACACGAAGCAATAATAATTATGGGTGACTTTAACGCTAAAGTTGGACAGAAGATGACGCAGGGCATCACCGGAAAGTTTGGCTTGGGAGAGAGAAATCAAAGAGGTGAACGGCTAATAAAATTCTGCCAAGAAAAATGACTTCGCCATTACAAATACCTGGTTTCAACTTTCAGAAAGGCGTCTTTACACGTGGAAATCCCCTCAAGATGGACATTAAGGCAGAATAGTACGGAATCAAATAGACTACATCCTAATAAACCACCGATTTCGAAACAATATTAAAGATGTAAAAACTTACCCCGGCGCTGACATAAACTCAAATCACAATTTACTCTGCTCCAAAATACAAATTAAATTGAAGAGATTAATAAAGCCAACTAAGCCTTGTAACATATATCTCGACCCCCTGAAAAACCCTCAAACACGCGAACACATAACACAACAAATAAATAGTAAAATACACAGAATATCAAATATAGCAAACGAAAACAGAACCATTAACGAATGCTGGTATGCCATTCAAAACTCGATTTTAGAGAACGTACAAGAGTCTTTAAAAACACCTACCATGTTGGCAAAAAAATGAGTGGATGACACAAGAAATTCTAGATCTGATGGAATTTCGACGGCAACACAAAAATAGAAATATTATCGAATATCGTGAAATTAATAAATGCATAAAAAGAAAAATTAAGCAAGCCAAAGAATCCTGGCTTGAGAATTTATGTAAAGAAATAGAAGACCTCCAAAAAAAGCATGACAGCTTCAACCTGCATAAGAAACTTAAATATACTGCCGGAATTAGAAAACAGAAAAATGCTCACATACTTAAAAGCGCGGACTGAAAAATTTGTGATCACGAACAACAGTGCAAAGAATGGGAGAGATACATCACTGACCTTTTTGACGATGCTTCTAGGGAAAATGCTCCAAATACTGCCTATGACAACCAGTTGGACAGAGGTCCCAATATACTGAATTCGGAAGTCGAAAAGGCAATTCAGCAAGCCAAAAACAATAAAGCGCCTGGACCAGATCAAATCCCTGCCGAACTACTTAAACTTTTGGATGAGGAAAGCATTGCCTGCTTAACCACTTTCTTCAACAAAATTTACAACGAAGGAGAAATACCAGATGATTGGTTAGAGTCACTGTTTATAACATTACCAAAGAAAAGCAGGCCCACCAAATGCAGCGATTTTAGACTAATCAGTTTGATAAGTCACACACTGAAGATACTCTTACGAATTATACAAAACCGAGTATTCCTTCTATGCGAAAGTAAGATGGGTGATAAGCAATTTGGATTTAGAAACGGTCTAGGAACTAGAGAGGCACTATTCTGTATGCGCGTTCTATTACAAAAAAGTTGTGAATACCGAAAGAATGTTTATGTTTGTTTCATCGACTTCGAGAAGGCGTTCGACAGAGTCCAACACAATACACTTTTCGACTGCCTACGGGCAGCAGGACTTGACCACTATGATATAAGACTGCTGAAATACTTATATTACAATCAAGTAGCCTCTATCCAAATTGGAGACACTCCCACTGAAAAAATACCCATCAAACGTGGAGTACGGCAGGGTTGTGTTTTGTCACCCACTCTTTTTAATCTGTACTCTGAAGAAATCTTTGAGGAGGCTTTGGATGAAAGACAAGAGGGAGTAAGACTAGGTGGAGAAGTAATCAACAATATTAGATACGCTGACGATACAGCCATTCTTGCAGAAAGTTTACAAGATCTCCAAACACTACTAAATCTAGTCAGTGAAGCAAGTTATCGGAGAGGCCTAAAAATCAACATTTCAAAGACAAAGTGGATGGCAGTTGGAAAGATCCATATAGATCAAGGTCTGCTTTCTCTTAATGGAGAAGAGATAGAAAGGGTAAATCATTTCAAATACCTTGGCAGCTGGTTAAATGTAAATTGTGACTCTGATGAAGAGATAATATCCAGGATCGAAATATCACGTAAGGCTTTTATGACCTGGAAACCAGTTTTATGCAACAGAAACCTGTCAATGAGCATTCGTAAGAAGGTCCTGAAATGTTATGTGTGGTCGATCCTATTGTATGGTTGTGAGACATGGACGTTAAAAACCACAATGCTAAACAAGTTAGAAGCATTCGAAATGTGGTGCTATAGACGAATCCTAAAGATATCGTGGGTTTCGCACACTTCCAATGAAGATGTTCTTCAAATGATCAACTCATAACGTCAGCTCATAAACACCATAAAGAGGAGAAAAACAGAATACTTCAGTCATATAATTAGAGGACCCAAATACCATTTACTTCGCCTTATAATACAAGGAAAAGTGGAAGGAAAGAGATGGATTGGTCGAAAGAAACTTTCATGGCTGCGTAATATTAGACAATGGTGTGGTTTCACAGTAGAAGAATTATTTCGAGCAGCAGCCGACAGAGAAAGGTTTCAGGAAATTGTAAACATGATGACGGCCAACGTCTGAATACGGACACGGCACCCAAAGAAGAAGATGGGGCTTGGTACACAGGAGGTATTATTTGACCACCAGATATTACTACAAAAATGCCGAGATCAGCGAAAAGACGTGTTTCTCTGTTTTATCGACTACGAAAAAGCGTTTGATCGAGTAAAACACACAGAACTCATAGAAACCCTAACACAACATGGTATAGACCATAACACTGTAGCACTTATTAAAAAACTATATTGGGATCAAATGGCGTCAATTAAAATAGACAAGGCAAAATAGCTTTGGCCATGCTGAGAGGTAGTTCTCCCAAAAAAGTATTAGAATACTAAAAAATATTGTTAAGTTTAATTAAAAGCTCTATTGATAGAAGTATAGTTACGGTTACCTTGGAAAAACTTCCTAAGTTTTCGAAATTATAAAGAAAAGTAAATTTTTGTATACATCCCGCAGTACTTTTGGTAATATTTCTCGCTATTTAGTATAAAGGCATTACGGAATTGGCCACTTTATTGTGTATTGATATACTAGTAGAAAAAAAAAACATTAAATGTTACCTACCTACAGAGGGTCTTGTTATTACAACGGGTATCTTTCCATGACATAATTCATTGACAACATGTTCTCCTAAAGATTTTGCAAATGTGTATGTATTGGGTAATGAAGAAATATATTTTTGAGAAAAAACCTCTAATGTCTCTGGATCGCATTTTTCAGCTAACGTAATAGCATCCCTCCAGTTCGCAAGGGCTGGATAAAGTTTTTCTTCTACTACAAATTTATCACAATTGGAGTAAGCAGTTGATATGTGCACAAATATTGCAATATTCTTTAAATCCAGAGCTAATTTTGCCACTTCTCTCGTTCCTCGAACGTTTAAAATGAGGGCGTCTTTTAAGAAGTCATCAAAACGGACTGATGCTGCTGAATGGTATATTATATTTACAGTGTTAACTAGTAATTCGCGATCTTCTTTGTTTAAACCTAAAATTAGCGATATTTTAATTAAGACATTGGAGTTACATAAAAATATGCTTGCTAGTATCAACCACTTGTTTACTAATGTTTATTCTACACATGGACGTATAAACATATATGGACACAGCAATAAGATACCTTTAACACACAATGTTTTGAAGCTTTGATAGAATGTGATGCTTCCGTAATGAGCATAAGCGTGCTTGAATTTTTACTCGCTGGTAATTATTCAGATTTTAAAAATTGGAAGTAGTAATAATGTACAAAAACACGTTCAAAGAATTAAAAAAAAAACGAGAGTTTAACTATTAACAAATCACGTCTTTATAGAAAAATTAAAATACAATTTTATTTGCTTTAAAATTAATACAATTAAATATAGTTGAATTCAAGTTAATTTTTTAATAGTATCAAAATATGCTACAATAAAATATCTTCATGTTTTCTTCTAAATTTGCTACCCAAATAGTTCGATCGTCAATATTATTTGGAAACCTACATAGAAAAATAAATGAGTTTTATTCATTTTACTAATTTATTTGTATCCATGAGAAATATTAAATTAAAAAGGTACTAAACAGATCTTTTTTATTCAGATGATGTCTACTTTTACTGTCTACAATTTAAAAATGTCTACTAATTTTATGAACTCATATCTTATTCAATACATTAATGAACATAAATAAACCCAATGGTACGCCTATTAAAATGTAAACAAACACGCTTCATCATTTCCTGATCTTAAATAATGTAAATTGTATGTACTTACAAATGAAATGAGAAATCGGGATGTAAATATTTCGTTTATTTTATTTCACTTTGCACAAATATCACTCAAAATATAGCCAAAATATCGAAAAACAACTTTTCCCCATCTACTGTAAAAAGTAAACAAACATGGAACAGCATTTGAAGTTTAACGTAGATCCATAAGACAGAGAAATGTAAACAAGCGTTGCCATTTATAAATAGTTTTCAGTGCTTCTACATATAAAATAATTGATTGATATTTATTATAGGTTATTATTAAATGATAATGCACACTATGTGCACACTTGATATTTTGATTACAATTAAATATATTAATCTAACCAATAAATTATTATTTTGGTTTGATAGCACCTGTAGAGTATAAAATACGGAGTAATATTTTCAGCGACTCGCGAATAAGAAATTTTAAAACAAAACGTGACAACAGTTGAAGGTGCTGAGAATGTGACCTATTCAAATAATTTTGACTACACAATTTTATGTAAATAACTGAGTCCATCTGTGTTTATACGTCCATGATTCTACATAATTATAATAATCTAGCCACAAGGAAATAAATCCGCACGCGGTTATACCCCAAAAGTTGTGAAGGCTTCATACATAGATGATAAATCTATATTACTAAGACTATTTCACTACACTATTTTTAACTGATAAAACATCATCGCAACGCAATGTTTCCTACTGATAAAACTCCTTCTGGCCCATAATTTCTCAGCGAAAAAATTATGACAAATCCGTCACGAAGGTGTCTGGTAATTCTATTTTTGTCAGTTTGACAAACGTCATTGAGGCGTAATTAATTTTCTTCTTCTTCTAGTTCCTTGACCGTTATCGATCGTTGGATATCATGTTGGCTACCATATTCGCTATCGTGACTTTATTGACAGCAGCTCTAAATAACGATGTAGTTGATTTTGCATACCATTGCCTTAGATTTTTCAGCCATGATGTTTCAGCTGACGTCTACCAGGACCACGATTATCTTGGATCTTTCCCTGAATGATCAGATGTAAATGATCATATTTTTCAGGGTGTCTCATAATGTGACCGAAGTATTCCAGCTTGCGTTTCTTTATTATATTGACCAGTTGTGTTGTTTGGCTCAGCCGTCTAAGGACCTCCTCATTTCTAACTCTGTCGACCCAGCTTATTTTCAGTAGTCGTCTGTATACCCACATCTCAAAGGCTGTCAAGCGTTTAGGCATAGCCTCAGTTAGAGTCCACGCTTCCACTCCATACAGAAGGACAGGAAAGATGTAGCAATATGTCATACGAACTCTAAGGTCAATGCTAAGATCGTGACTGCAAAGTACGTTTCTTATTTTTACAAAGGCAGCTCGGGCTTGTTCTATTCGGCTTTTAATTTCTGCGGTTGGATTCCAGCTCTCATTGATATTACTGCCAAGATACGCGAGTTTCTCTACTCTGTCCAGTGTGGCATCTCCGACTTTTATACCGTCATCCTGTATATAATTTTTTTTGCTAATTATCATATATTTAGTTTTCTTAACGTTAAGTTTTAATCCATACTGATCACAAGTCTGTTTTATTTTGTTCATTAGATTTTGAAAGGTATAGTCGGCATATCTAATATTCTTGACGGTTACTCCATTCACAATAATACCTTCGGTTGTCTCCATTAAGGCTTCCTTAAATATTTCCTCCGAAAAAAGTAAAGGCGACAATATACAGCCTTGTCTCACTCCTCTTTTTATATTTATTTGATCCGACAGTTCTTGTTCAACCTTTATTCTTGCCACTTGATGCCAGTATAGATTTGTAATTATTTGTAGATCTTTATCGTCCAATCCAGCTGTTTCCAATATTTCTAGCATTTTGTTATGTCGGACTTTGTCAAAAGCTTTTTGACTCTTGGAATATAAGTAGAAAAATATGACTTACAATATTTTGCTGCTTCAGCTTCTGTCAGATACAATAACTCCACAAAAACTCACTAACATTCAACACTACTGCTTGCTACCTCTCGGGAACCGCCAGAGAACAATCACTGTTCGTCTTACAGACTTGGAAAACCAACTATCTTTTTTTCTTCCGAAACTAACTAACGTCTCATTCTCAAACCAATCATCTCACCTTTTTCAATTTCATCCAATCAAAACGCGCCATCCATCCTCATTTCTTCATTTCGATAACAAACAAATTTTTACCTATAATTATAAAATTTCCTAAAACTTATTTACAAATAATATTTTTCTACAATTCTTAAAAACTAACAAAAACCTATCTTTCAAAAATCTATTCTATTGTCCTAATCAACTGCACTAATGTATTTGGAAAACCCGGTTCAATTGTCTTTTATCTCACTTAAGCTTATTCACGTCATACAAATATATTTTAACAAAGAAAATAATTTATGCATAGCTTACGTTTTGTTTAATACAGGTAATCCAAAATTAAAAGACTTTCACTCTTCGAAATGTTTGTAGTTTATTGTTTGACTTATCTGAATTATTTTAATGTTTTGAACTTTGAAATATTTTTAAATAAACCGACATTTTCTTGATTTTACATATCATAACAATATATATATATATATATATATATATATATATATATAATCGCTAATGTTATAATAAAAAGATGAATATATAATAAATAAAAATCAGCAAACCTAAATTTAATTCCGAAACATCGCCTTTAATGGGGATCAGTTTCTTCAGCGCATCTGGATTTTGGTGACGCAATGGATTAAATATCTGTAATAGAACATTTTTTATATTAATTAAATAAATTGAACATTTTATTACCAAAAAACCTTAAAAATAAAAAGGAAGAATATGTCAGCGTGGCTATGTAAAACTGATTTTAAAACCAGTCTAACGTTAAATTTTTAATGACCCTTAAGCTAGCGGGGACAAATGAGCGGAATCCAATTTAACCTACGTAATATCTTTTCACCCATTTTTCACTAATTTATTACCACCCTAGTAATTTTTCACGACTAAACCAAGCATTGTAATGTGATTCTTTATTTATACACCTATCTTTACTTCATTGGATCAAATCTATCTCCTCAAAAACTTCCCGTTTATTGTCAAACAACTAAAATAGCAGACTTAAGTTCTCCATTCAACAATACAAGATAGTTTCAACCATGTTCTACCATCCATTAATTAATAGAGTACCGGCATGTAAGAAATGTTTTATTTATTTGCTCATTTATTAATTTATAACAATCTAATAGACTATTTTATAACAATTTGTGGGTCTTACCTTGTCTGTTAAAATTTTTTATACCTTTTTATTCATTTTGAAAAACCACAGACATGTAATATTGGCATAATTATAGTAATTTTATAACATCTACTTTGTTTATCTTTTTATTAGACAACACCATAATATGGGTTTATTATTATTTCAGCATTTATTTAACTTTGTATCGAGACCTGAAGATGTTTTGCATATTGTAGCAAGCGAAACCGGTCGTCTGATAGTTAAATTAAATTGATTGTGAGTAAGTCTTATTTATTATTTCTTTAACTATTAGAACTCTTCGAATTAATTAAAAAACGCAAGATTGGTTACCTTGGGCACATATTGAGAGGAGCAAAATATGAAATACCACAGTTAATCCTACAAGGGAAGATCGAAGGTAGGAGAGGAGCCGGCCGCAAACAATTATCCTGGTTAAGGAATATTAAAGAATGGACAGGAATACACAATACAGGCGAGCTGTGTCACGCCGCCAAGAACAGAATTCTAGTAATGAGATAGTCGCCTACGCACTTTGGTGTATGGCATGTTAAGAAGAAGAAAATTAATTGTTACCGTGCCACTAATAACATTATTAGGTTAAAGCGGGTTTTTTGAAAATAAAAAAAAAGAACCTAGCAATTTAAATTCTAATTTTCATTACCTTACAAATAATATTCTATTATTTGTTTTTATTTAAACAAACCTTTATAAGTTATAAACAGAGTAAAACCACAGTATACCTAACAATTGTTAGGTGTACTGTGATAAAGTGTTTTGCGCAATATAATTTTGACAATGCGTTTGTTTCTAGTAGGCCCGATTTAGCAATTGTTTTGACGGGGCCAATAAAAACTTGTTATTTGTCTAATACCGTTTTCAAATAGAGGCGAATGAATATCCGGTTTTTGGACAAGAACGCGTCGGTTTGTTTGTTGAAATTTTCAATCTTTGTTTTTGTTTGGCAATAATTTGTGCAAAAGTGTATTTATTAGTGTCGTGAGTGAATGTTTAATGGTAAATGATGTTAGTATTTGTCTTTTCAATGATCCTTTAAAGGTAAGTGCAAAAATATGCTAATTATTGGATGTATCTTAAACTGCATAATAACCGCCATGATGAATTATGTAATATGACTGCATTTCTTCCCGAATGTTTTATTAATTACTTGTTTTATGATAATTTTTTATCGTTAAAATGTTTATTTGAGTATTTTAAGTATATAACTTACAAATATCCGCAAGATATGATTTATTTTTATGTATTTAATTTTATTGGGTCGTTTATACAATCAAAATGTAATATTAGCAGCTTCTTCTTGAGCCGAATTTCGTTTTTGTGGCGTGAATTTAATTTCGATCATTACATAATGTAGTTTACTTTGAAGTAGTGTAACTGGTTTCATTCATCATCAGATATGAAATCTGTACTTGGTTGTCTTAATATGTGTCTAGTCTATTCTAAGCAGAGATACTTTTATTTTCTTGACTCCCGGTAATTCTTTTTTAATTTCTGCATTTGCTTTCATTATTCTCTTTCCTTCTCTTGTTACATTAAGACCTAGTATTGTTTTTATTGGTTTTTAAATTTGAGAAGAGCATCTTTCATTATATATATTTTTTAGCCTTTCTAAGTCCTCTCTTTTCTGATTTCTCCTGTTATTTCCATGTATTTGATGGAAGCTATTGCAGTCAGCTCTTTTATGATTTCTCCTATATTAATTCCAGGTAGTTGAAGGAATCGATTGCTTAAAATTTATAGTACTGTGTTATTTCTGTGTTATTGTGCTATTTTATCTTTAGTCAAATCCTCTTTATTTTTTAAATTAATTCTTCAGTTGCTGTTTAAGTGCCATATTTGTCTTTGCTATGATGGCCGAATATTCTTCATATATAGTCGGTTTACAAGCGAAACACAGTCAAAAACTTAATTTTATGATAATCATGTTTTAATTTTCTTAAAAATAGTTTGATCAATTTTCACATTTAAAATTTTTATTTGTTGTTTGTCATTAAACCATTGTTTTGGTAAAGTATTAATAACGATTATTTATTATATATATTGTGGCTAAACACCCCGTACGGGGTTACGCCGCTTAAGCTCTCTAGATCTATTTTACGAGGTAGATCAGTCCTCATTTTCTTTATTTAATTTTTCTTGTTATTTTTCTCTACTGTTTCCTATCTCTGGTTTTTTCTCTCCATTGTCGTACGCCCGCCCTGTTGAGATCGTTTGTTACTTCTTGTAGCCATGTAGATCTTGGTCTTCCACGTCTTCGTTTACCAGCTGGTGTCCATTCCAATATTGAGAATATTGTCGTAGATGGTCCTGATCTCCATATATGTCCTAGCCATTTTGCCCTTTGCTGTTTTATTTTACAAACTATATCCTCTTTAATTTCGTTTAGTAGTTCATGATTCGTTCTTTGTCTATATTGGTTTTCATTAATTTTTATTGGTCCTAATATTGCTCTTAGTATTTTCCTTTCTAGTATTCTAAGGTCTTCCTCTTGTTTTTTTGTCATGCTAAGGGTTTCGGCAGCATACATCATAGTTGATCGAATTATTGTTTTATATATTTTCATTTTCGATTTTTTGCTCAGTAATTTATTTTTTAGTAGCTTTTTATTTGCATAGTATGTCTTATTTGCTGTAATTATCCTTTCTTTAATTTCTGTTTCCCTTTCTCCATTGTTTGCCAATAATATTCCTAAATACTTAAACTTTTCTACTTCTTCAAATATATATTCTCTCAGTCTAACCTTTTTGTTTTCATATTTTTTGTCAAATCTCATTATTTTTGTTTTTTCTTGATTTATTACTAATCCCATTACTTTCCCTTCTGCTACCAATTCTTTTAACATACTTTCCATTTTTTTCTGTTCTTTGTTATTATCACAATATCGTCGGCATATGCTATTATTTGTACCTCTCTCGTTCTAAGTGTACCCTTGTTGATTTTCTTGACTATATATTCCAGGGCAAGATTAAACAGAGTTGCAGATAATGAATCTCCTTGACGTACACTTTTATGTATAACAAATTCTTCTGTGTCTCCTTCTTGTGTTTTTTACAGTTACTACGGTTTTGCTCATTGTCATTTTTATTAATCGTCTTAATTTGTTGTGTATTTTCATTTCTCTCATAGCTGTAAGTAATTTCGCTCTGTTTATTGAATCAAATGCTTGTTGGAAGTCTATAAAAAGCAGTTCAATTTCTATTTTATATCCATAAGCTTTCTCCATAATTTGCTTTACCGTATGTATGGCATCTGTTGTTGACTTTCCCCTAATAAATCCGCATTGATACTGTCCCATGATATTTGTGGTCGCTTTGGCCAGTCTTCGTTGTATTAAGGTTGACATGATTTTATACGCTGTGTTTAATAATGTCAGTCCTCTATAATTATTACACATTTGTTGGTCTCCTTTTTTATGGATTGTGATTATTTGTCCTTTGTGCCATTCTTCTGGCATCTTTTCTTCGTCCCATATGACTTTTATTAATTGGTATATTTTTTCTCTGAGTTCATGTCCACCATATTTTATTAGTTCCATGTTTATACCGTCTATACCTGGTGCTTTACCGTTGCGACTACTGTTTATAATTTCCTCAACTTCATCTCTCGTTGGTTTTTCTAGCTCGGTTTCTATCATCGTGGTCTCTTCTTCCACATTTTCATTTAAGTCTTCGTCCTCTTGTACTGTTAATAATTCTTTAAAATAATCAGTCCAGATTTCTATAAACTCTTTGTCATTTTCTGATACTTTTCCATTTCTATCCTTTATGCCTTTTATCTTTCCTTTGAACGATTATTTATTAGAAAAAGTAAATCCTATATGTATTATTAAATTAATAATTTTTGTTTAATTTTAGATTTTAGTAGGTACGATGATTTAATGTATTTTGCATGTAGCATTTAACACGCGATTAGTACCGCTTGTGAATCTCCCGACATTGGTACCTACCGTGTTAGATTTTATCTAACGTCATAGTGGTGTTCCTTTTTTTAAGGTATTTGGTACTTGGCAGTATTTTTCATAGCTTATATTGTTTATAACAATAAAACACTGAAAACTTTGTTTTCAAACTTCCACAAAATTTATTTTAACTATTATCACTACAGCTGTTTCGGCTGATTGCCTTTTTCAAGTGATCTATTTTTGGCATGCTTTTACACTTTATAGTCTCTAATGAAATAGGTTGAGGAGGGGAGAACTGTTTGTCTCAAGTTAGTCATTTAGAATTATATCTGTGTTTTTTAATTTGTTGATTTCCATAGATTCTAACAAAGATAGCTTAAGGCCTTTATTTTGAATGTGAAGAATTTTAAATTTGTCATTAAAAGAATGATTATGATCTAGAAGGTGAAGTGCGTATGTCGAATCTGTTTTTCTATTATTAAAAGCCCTTTTATGTTCTGCTATTCGTTTATTAAAGTTTCTACCAGTTTGAGCGATGTAAGTTTTTGGGCAGTCGCCACATTGAAGTTTGTACACACCACTATTTAAGTGTTTTTTATTTTGGCTCTTGTTATTTTTAATATATTTGCCTAGGTTGTTATTTGTTCGGAAAACTGGTGTTATTCCTTTCTTTTTTATGTGTTTGGCTATTTTTGTTGTTATTTTGCCTGTATATGTAATCGAGCAGAATGTACTGGGTTTTTTCTCTTGTGGTGGAAACACTAATTTCAGGGCTTTCTTGTGTAGTTTTTAATTTAACATTTTATTAATTGTTTGTTCGTTGTATCCGTTGTTTACTGCTATTTGCTTAATTATATTTAATTCTGTCTCAAAGTTGTATTTTGACATCGGAATTTCTGTTAATCTATGTAACATACTATGATAGGCTGCCAGTTTATGTTGTGTTGGATGGGATGATGAATTGTGTATAGTCGTGTCAGTATGTGTAGGTTTATGAAATATGGAGAAGTCATGTTTGTTTTTAAGTCTGATAATTTTTATATCTAAAAAATTTATGGATTAATTTTGTTCTGTTTTTATTGTAAATTTAATATCACTATGAAGTGAATTAATATACGATAAAAATTGGTCGAGTTGCCTGTTAGTTCCTGCGAAACATACCAGTACGTCGTCTACGTATCTCCACCAATATAGAAATTGTTTGAATACGGGATGTTTTGAAATCTTTGTCTCATAAAAATATCTGATAGTAATGTTCTTAGAGGATTGTCCATTATAAGTCCTGCACTGTTATTTGTATATATTTCATCATTAAATTCAAAGTAGTCCTGGTTTATGCAAACTTCAAGAAGATGTAAAATTTCAGATGTAATTATTGGATTTGTACTATTTTGGTCTAAAAGGTTTTTTACTAGAATAAAAGTTTCTGTAGTAGGGATACTAGAAAAAAGATTTTTTACGTCAAATGAAATTAATCTGGAGTTGTTAGGTAATTGAAAATGTTGTATTTTATTAACTAGTTCTATTGTATTTTTTATGGTAAATTTAGGTGAAAATTTAGTGTGTTCTAAAATAATCTCTAACAACTTTTTTGAAAGTTTATATGATGGAGCTGCATAAAAAGAAACTACAGGTCTTATTGGGTGATCCGGTTTGTGTAGTTTAATGAAAGAGTATAATTTAGGAGGCGGCTGTGGGTTCATAATATTAAGGTATTTCTGTTCTATTGGATTTACTATTGATTTTGAATTTTCTAACGCTAGCTTAATTTGTTTTTGATATTTTATCATCTCTATTCTCTATATATCTATAGGTTTTGAGATTTATTATATTTTCATTTTTTCATTGAGATCTATTTTGTCCAAAACCAACCCTAACAATGAACAAGAAAGGACAAGGACATTTATAAAATACCTAGTAAATGCGATCAGTTTTATTTAGGTGAAACATCAAGGCCATTAAATGTTAGAATAAGTGAACATCAATCTTATATTAAAAATAGAGAATTTGATAGATCTCAAATATGTAAACACGCATGGGATAATGAACATAGGGTTCTATGGAATAATTCAAATGTAGTCCTAAAAGAAACGGATGGTAAAAAAAGAAAAATCAAAGAAGCGGCTCTAATTATGCCAAATGAGGCCAATTGTGTCGCAAATTCGTCGGCAGAATGTAGGAGGATCTGGTTACCAATATTAAAAGAGGAAGTTATTAATAAATACCAGTATTAGTAAGTCAGTAACATATAGAGGATACATCATTTATGTTTTTTAAATAACGAAACATATAAAATCAGAATTTTGGTGTTTATTGAAGGTAAACTAAATTCACGAACAAATACTTACCATGTCAGGATAGTATTATGAGGTTTTTTTCCTGGTTTTTCCCTCATAATTTACTATGGAATCACTAACAGGAGAATTTTACTGTCATCATGTCATGTGTTTGTCTTTTTAAAGACGAATTACATGCTATGATTTTTTTCTGACGGATATTCTCAAGTTCAAGTTGATTTCATGTAATCGAATGAATTATCTTATAGTAAAGTCGTCCCAGGAGCGCAACTCAACAATATTGGCAATATCATTTTAAAGTCGTCTACTTTAAAATGCATAATGTATGTCTGAATTGTCAATATAAATGAGTCGGATAAAATTAAATTATTAGAAGACTTTTTCACTATGTAACAAAAAACAAAATTTATTTAATTTACTGTTTGTATTTTGAGAACGATTTCCGAAGTGGAAATTGAAACGTCAATAAACGTATTTTTATCTTTAATTGTGGCTTATTCCCAGTTAAATAGTAATTATTATTATGTATTGGCGACTTTTTATTTTTTTAAAGATTTTATTATTTCTTCAACTTCATTTTCAGTTGTTGAAAATAGGTACATAATATTATTAATTTCTAATAAATTTTCTTGAAATTCAGTTGACTTAGGAATCATTTCTGCATATAATTTTCCAAAATTGGTATATTAGTCTACAAATTCCTTTAAATTAAGCTCGAACAGATATGAAATGATGAGATGATGAGATCAAATGGAGGATGCAAGTAAGCAACATCGCGATACCATAAATAGGAAGCAGATTATGTGGTATGGAATCCTCCAGAAAATGGAAAAGTGAATATATGGTCGAAATTAATGTAGCGGTAGGCTCCCGTTAGAAGAAAGAAATAAGGCAGCTTAAGAAGACTTGGAATGTTGATGACCAAGAAGCAATGACAGCGAGGGAATTATGCCAAGGTGACTGGATTTACAAAAAACGGTGAAATAAAGGAACGAGAAACGACTTGGACTGTAACATACTCGTTGAGTATGTATGTATGTAAAATCTTATTAAAAGATAATATGTGGTGTCAATTTTTTTAATATGTTTAAAATAAATCTTCAAGAATGACTTACCGGTGATTCGATAATTTTTTCAAGTCGGTCTTCAATCGGGTTACCTCTTTTTGGTCTTAACAGTACATATATTTTTCCGATACCTGGGCAAGATCTTAAAAGCTTTTCTATTATCAGTTTTCCTAGAAATCCACTGCCCCCAGTAATGAATACGTTTTTATCTATGTAAAAGTCTGCTACGGGCATTTTGCTCTACAAATTTTAAAAATTAAATCATGTAAACACAACAGAACAGAAATATGCTTTATTGTCACTTATTGTTATAAACAATACTAATGTTGTTTCTTTGTTATACATTAAGAAACTCGTCAACTGAATAATATGGTCTTTCAGACAGATAGATTTTTGTCATCTTACGAAACTTAATGAAACATGTTGCGGATTTAATTTGTCTTGGAAGGTGATTATAAAGTTTTTTTTGCACTATATAGAATAGAATTCTTTATAGCAGAGTGGACGGGATCGGTAAATAAACGTTACGATCCGAATTGCTAATGGAGTAGCCATGATCAGGTCTATCGGGAAAAATATTTAGATGCTTTCGAATCAAACAAACCGTTCCCAAAATAAATAAAGAGGGAAGCGTCAAAATTCCGTGATTTTTGAAGTAGGTCTTGCAATGAGTTGTTTGTTTGAGACCAAATAGATAACGAATTGCTCTTTTTTGCAACTTAAAAATAGTATCAAATTGGGCCGCTGTACAAGAACCACAAAATGGAAACCCATATCGAAGATGGGACTCGAACAATGAGAAATATGCCATTTTGACAAAAGATAAATTTAGTTTCTTCGAAACAGATCTTATTGCAAAGCAAGCTGAGGCTAGTTTCTTCCTTAAGGAGTCAGTATGCTAGGACCATTTAAGATAACTGTCGATAAGAATACCTGAAAATTTCACGGAATTAACGATACTGATTTGCCTCTCATTCAAAAGCAAGGGTTGTAGGAATCCTTTATAAGATAATGCTACTGTCTTATCTACGTTAAAGCTAAGTAAGTTGGAGTCTGACCAAGCCTTGATTATAAGCGAATCAGAGGTTATAATTGAATGAAGCGTTGAAATATTAGAGTTGCTCCAAATAATACTGGTATCATCAGCAAATAGATAAATTTTCGTTTTAATTTTCAAGTACGTGATGTCATTAATGAAAAGTAAAAAAAGAATGGGACCTAATAGTGAACCTTGCGGTACTCCACACTCAATATCTTTACAACTATAGTCGGTGTCATTTATTCTAAGCAATTGTTTCCTACCTACCAAGTAAGTTTACCGAATTCCACAGAAAGTTAATTTTTAATAGAATGTCGTGGTTTACGCAGTCAAAGGCTTTGGAATATTCGCAGAAAACGGAGAGGTTACTATTTAGTGATAGATATACCTCAGGTAACACAGAAAACATGGCATCACTGGTACATTTATTGGACAAAAAGCCGAACTGATTTTGCGATAAAATATTATGTTTAATGAAAAAAGGGCATAAGTCGAACTTTTATAAGCCTTTCAATAATTTTTGATAGTGCTGTTAACAGGGCAATATGTCTATAGTTGCAGGCATCAGATTTTTCTCCACCGTTATGAAGAGGAATAACGATGACAGTCTTTAGGCAGTTAGGGAATGTACCTTTTTCAAGGGAATCATATACTAGCAAGACCATGACCTCCAAAACATTATGTATTATATATATATATATATATATATATATATATAATATATATATATATATATTTGAGAAAATTTTAATAGATAATCCATCTGTACTACAGGACGATGTGCTTTTTATATTACGAATTGTTCAAATGAGTTCAGTCTTATCAACTGGTCTTAAAAAGAAGGTATCAGCAATGTTTTTTGAATTAGGGAGATAGGAAACTGGATTTTGTTGTGGCGAAATAGTTGAGTTTATATTTTTACTCACATTAACAAAGTAATCTGGTGAAAGTTATAAAAAAAATTATGAAATATGGTGGAATATATGGTTTACTCTACAGTAAAATGCTGAGGCAACCTTCACGGAACTAGCGCCATAAAAATGGCGTGGTCACAAGTAGCGTCATAGAATAGTGTTTCTTTACATTGATTCAGTACTCTCGATCAATTTATTTCTTGTCATTATATATTTACTCTAAGCAGGTTTTTCTTCTTCTTCTTCTTACAGAAGAAGGTTTTTGATGTAATAGTTGAACTCTTTAATCAAACATATCGGACTTCCACAATCCTCAGACAATGGCTGCAATCGACCTTTGTGGCAATACCTAAAAATTCAAGTGCAATATCCTGCTCAGATCACAGAACAATAGCTTTAATGAGACACACTCTTAAACATTTTTGAAAATAATACACCGCAGAATTGTTAAAACTCTTGAATGTGAAATTAGTGACACACAATTTGGCTTTAGAAAGGGTATGGGAACAATAAATGCTTTGTTCGACTTAAATGTACTGGCCCTGATATGCATGGACATGAATCAGGACATGTACTTATGTTTTGTAGACTTTAAAAAGGCATTTGATACGGTTAAACAAAAAAGACAAAAACTGAGACAAAACAAAAGAGACCCTGCTGAATTTAAGAAACTTAATCAAATAATCAAGTCAATGTACAGGACAAAAAAGAAAAGGTCCCCAGTGCCCAGCACTTCCCAGAGGCTTGATCACGGCAGCGATCAAACAACTAACGGAAGGGGGGTGCTTAGAATCCCTGGGTAAGACCCGGCTGCCACAAGATGACAATTTGGCTATGCTTCTACAATATTCGAACACTGACGGACGACAATAGATTCCCAGAAATAGAAAGTGAACTAAAGGATATATAATGGGATATCCTTGGTATATGCGAGACCAGAAGAAAAAGTGATGAGTATATAATACTAAAAAATGGCACACATTTTATGCATAAAAGTGGCGAATACACAGGAGTGGGATTCTTGGTAAAACAAAGCCTCACACAGTGTATCGAAGAATTCAAGCCCATATCAGAAAGAGTAGCATATCTCATCATCAGGATTAATAAAAGAACCACTCTGAAAGTGATCCAAGTGTACGCTTCGACCACAAGCCACGACGATGAAGAAGTAGAAATATTTTATGATGAAATAAAAACAGCTATAGAAACAAATAAAGCAAATTACGTTATACTATTAGGAGATTTTAATGCTAAATTGGGCAAAAAAGAGGAAGATTATGAACATTTAATTGGTAACTATGGCTACGGGAAAAGACACGATAGAGGAAAAATTCTTCTCAATTTCATGAATGAACATAACATGTACTCAATGAACTCCTTTTTCAATAGAAAACCAAGCAGAAAATGGACATGGATGATCCCCGATAAAAAGACATAGAATGAAATAGATTATATTTTAACGAAGAATAGAAACCTAGTAGAAGACATATCAGTATTAAATCAGTTTGACCTAGGCAGCAATCATAGACTAATATGAACAAAACTAATAATTAACAAAAAACTAGAAAGAAAAAGAATACATGAAAAAAGATACAAATGGACATCTGAAAAAATCAAAAATAGTGAATTTAATAAAAAGATAGCGCATGCATTAAATCAAGTTAGGATGCAGCAGATAAACTCCAATGATATTGATGATTTGAATAACCTTATTACCGAAACAGTGAATAAAAGCCTTCTGCAACTGAAAAAACCAAAAACAACATACAATGAATTAGACAAAGAAATATTACTACAAATAAAAAGAAGGAAGATCTTAAATAAATCTAACAAAAGGGGAACCGACGAATATAGAGAACTTAATAGGCAGATTAGAAAAGGAATCAGACAACAAAAAAGAAAAGAAAACGAAAAATTAATAACAACAACTATTGAAAAAAATAAGAGTATGAAATGGCTCAGACCGATACTAGGACGACGTCAGATGATATCATTAATGGGAAAAGACGAAAATGAAATCACAACTAGAGAAAACATACTACGAATAGAAGAATTTTATACAGAACTTTACAAAACACATCAACAAGATGATGAGATGAGACCAGCACGGAAATTAATAAAAAATGTTGGATCAGAAATAATGCCAAAAGTAACAATTTCAGAGGTAACTACAGCATAAGAAAACATGAAGAGAAATAAAGCTGCAGGAGAAGATAGTATTACCACAGATATGATATTAAAAGGAGGTAAGGAACTAATTACAATTGTAACTAAGCTTGTGGACAGTTGTTTACATCAGGGCAAAGTCACTAACAGCTGGAACAACTCTAAAGTAATCCTATTACACAACAAAGGTGATAGTCGAAAATTGGAAAGCTACAGACCCATCAGCCTACTGTCACACCTGTTTAAAATACTCACCAAAATCATAACTACTCGACTAACAAGGAAATTAGACGAATACCAACCATATGAACAAGCAGATTTTAGAAAAGGCTATTCAACTTCGATCACCTGTTAATCACAAAAATGTTAATAGAAAAATGTAACGAATACAAGTTTTCAGTTTTCCTAGCATTTGTAGACTACGAAAAAGCTTTCAATACCATAGAACATACGGCAGTAATAAACGCAATGCAAAATTGTAGAATAGACAGCAGATATATTAACTTAATAAAAGAAACTATGAACCAAGCTACAGCTACATACTACCTAAATGAAAATGAACACACGAACCCTGTACCATTAAACAGAGGAGTCAAACAGGGAGATACTTTATCACCCAAACTGTTCACCTTAGTTTTGGAGGACGTTTTTAAAAACCTAAATTGGAAATATAAGGGAATAAACATAAATGGCCGCTATCTCAGTAATCTACGATTTGCAGATGACATAATCCTGATAGCTACTGACCTACAAGAAATGCAAACCATGCTTTTAGAACTACATACCGAATCTTCTAAAATAGGACTGAAAATGAATTTAAACAAAAGTCATGCACTCCGAAGACACCGTGACAATAATAAACGATAAAATTATAGAAAACGTTGAAGAATATATATACTTAGGACAATAAATAATACTAAATATTGAAATTCAAACTGAAGAAATAAAAAGAAGAAGAAAGTTAGCTTGGGCAGCATTCGGTAAACGGAACTATATACTCAGAAATCAACAAATTCAATTACATCTTAGATCTAAAGTTTTTGATGCATGCATTATTCCGATATTAACTTATGCGGCACAAACATGGACAATCACAAAAAAGAATATGAATATACTTAGAGTCACTCAACACGCGATGGAAAGAGCAATGCTAGGTATATCACTTAGGACAAAACAAACACATGGATAAGAAAGAAAACCAAAGTCACCGATGTGGTGCAAAAATCATTAGTTGAAATCATCAAAGTTGAAATGGGAATATGCTGGACATGTAGCTAGGAGCGATCTAAACAAATGGCACAGATCAATTTTAACCTGGAGACCATACCAACACAAAAGACCCAGAGGCAGACCTCCTATGAGATGGACAGATGATCTGAAAAAGACTGCCGGGAAAAATTGGCTACAAGTAGCGTACAATAAAAAACAATGGAGAAGAAGAAAATTAAATAATAAGAAAATAAATAAAAGAGGACATTAAAAAACATCAAGAAGACCGTATAGAACAAGTTTCTCTCAAATTAAACAATCTGAGGCTAGAAGATATAATGATTCACGCGAAGAAGAAGAACATTTTAAAAGTTAGCAAAATAGAAATACAAAAGTTACTTACCAGTCTATGAAAAAAAAAAAATAATAATTTTGTTAATTTCTGCTTTCGTTTTCTCTATAGGAAGTTGATTTTATAATGGCACAAATGCATGTAACGCATTGGACGTGCAAAAATGAATAAAGTTATCTATTTATGAATAATTAAAAAAATGCACTATTGTATTGATTTTAAAAATCAGTTAGCATAAACCTATTGTTACTTTTCTAATTATTAATGTACATATTAACTTCCTTTAAAATGCACTTTTCATTATGACGTTCTTCGTAACCACATTATATGATTCAATATTATTTTAATAGTTCAGTTCGAATAGCATTTGGGGGGGAGGGGAGTTAATAGTAGTTTACTAGGTCAATTAATTTAAAATTGTGACTGAATTCCATTATTGCGTCAGCCGCCATCTTGATTTTAAAGGAGAACCCTTTTTGCTCAATATCTCCGCCATATTGTTTGTTTAATAATTTGTTTAGATAATTAAATACCCAATAACGAATACAGTGTGTCAATTTTAAAACTTACGATGGTCTATATCTCACGAATAAAAGCTGATATCAAAAAAAAAATGCTTGAAACCGCGTCTAGGTTAGAACTAAAATGACCTAAAAGAGAACTCACCCCCATCTGTAGCATTTTATATTGAAATCCCCTCGTATACGAAATATATTGAGATCGCCTTATATATGTTTAAAAAATAAAACGAAGAATGTTTCCCATGTTTGTTATTCGTATATTTCAAGTTAAAATACCCAAAAGTGTTTTCAATCATTTTAGCGTTACCAAGTAATAAAACCATTTGAAAGTTGTTTATTATTTTAACCCTTAACTGGTGACCCTACTTTTAATTACATAAATGGTGACCATGAGTCTGACAGACTCCTGGCCAAAAAAAGCTGTTTTTGCAAAACTGGCACCTCAAAAATGCAATAAAACAGTTTTTAATAATAAAACAATATTGTAATGTCATTTTTATTTAGTGAAAAAGAAAAAAAATCAAACTGTAGGACTTATAACAAAAACAGAAAAAATGGTAACATGTTTTATAACCCAAAATTTTTAAAGTCATATTCCAAAAAAAAAATAAACATATACAAACAAGTATAATATATGTATGTTTAAAAATAGGTACATTTTACATAAAAAATTGTTAAAAACAACATAATTGCAATTCTGCACAAAACCTGCAAATCGCTAAAAACGTTAAAAATCTATTCTGTCCTGGTACAATTTATACAAATTTTTCGAGAACATTGCAAACATATGGGTTTTTGACAAATTGTGCATAAATATGCAGTCTTTCTTCTTAATTTGGATGGACAGATGTAGCAATATTTTCTTATTTCAAGCTTTTCTTCTTCGTTAGCCTTATTTTCGGGAATATCAAGGATACTTCCGATCAGTTCTTTCAGCTGCCTTTGTAATGTTGGCATTTCATACCTTCTATGCAAATGTGAGGAAACGAGTTCATCGGCCAGGGTTTCTATAAATTTGAATCTAGTCCAATTATTTTCGGGAATCGAAGTAAACATAATGTATGAATTTACTCCACATATGTCTACTATTTTATAAAAAAAAGCCATGGGCCATCTACGTGTTCTGCGGCTACAGGAATATTTTACTCACTTTTCATCCATCGCGTCTACACCCCCTTTGGTCAAGTTGTAAAAAGAATTTATTTCTGGTAGTCCATTATCTGCATCTACTTCTATGGAATGATGCACGGAAGAAATTAATATCACAGCTTTATTTTTCTTAGTTGTACGGGATAAAAAGTGTTAGGTCTTTGGTAAATCCATACAAAGTGTCGCCTTCATTACGATTTGGTCGCGGAAGGAACTGTGGAGGAATTTCTTTTTTATTTCTTCGCATTGTGCCAACGTAAGTGAGTTTATGTTGTTGTAGATGATGTACTAAATCAACTGACCTAAACCAGTTGTCGCCAGTTACATTTCTATTAGTATTGTAAAGATATTTGACTAATCTTATAACTGCTTGAGTAGGTATGCTTATTCTTCTTTCTTCATTAGTGAGGCTAAATCCATGTGAACCTTTCCCAGCATAAATGTAAGCATTATGTAAATATCCAGTTCGTGCATCAGTCATACATAAGATTTTTATCCCATATTTACAGGGTTTGCTGGGAATATACATTTTAAAGCGACATCTGCCTCTGAAGCCTACCAGCATTTCGTCTACACACACATTTTTTCCAACTGTATATGCATCTTTTGAATTGCGTACAAATAAGTCAAAGAATTCTTGGATAGCAGCAGCTAAATTATCCCTTGCTCTTTGTTCTCGGTCCGAGGCATCGTCAAACCTTAAGGCGGCCATCAGGGTCAGGAAACGTTTCTGCGACATAACTGCTCTAAATATAGACCGTCCTTTCCCGTTCGTAGCAAACAAACTTCGTATATCCTCATGATTTGATTTATAAATAGAAGTATAAAGAAGCAGTACCAAGAAAGCTCTCAATTCTATTTCATCAGTATCAGCCAACTCAGATTTTTTATATTGTTGATATTTTGGCCGAAAAGTTGCGAGTTTTTCCTTAGTTCTCTTAACAACAAGAGTATACATATCTGGTGAAAACAATTTATTAAAATAATAAACGGGACTCGTTGACTTTTCTACTTTTGAACGGATTGATGGGAGTACAAAAATATTGTGAGCAGGCGTACGGACGTTTCTAGTTGGCTCCTTTTTACTCCACTTATGCCTATTTTTTCCATAGTAATAATTGCTGGAATTGGCACACACTTCTTCATCTTCGCCTGATATCATTTCTGAGTCTTGTTGCTGTTCATTTTCACTTAGTTCTTGTAAATATTTCGAAAACGGGACGAGCGAGGTACTTCTCATTACACGTTCGAATATACTCTAAAAGCTAGGAAGGTACACCGAATTACAGGTTGCTAAATATTTGTGGCGAGAAGCGCAGACGCGTTAATAAACGTGCGGAGTCTGTATGACGCATGTTCACCAGTTAAGGGTTAAAGATATTTACTTCGGCGATTTCTTTTAATTTTTATACGTCGCAAATGGAATCTTTTACGTTGTTTCGTTATGTTTTTGTTATGTCAGCGTTTGTTTTATTTTCAAGTTAGGAACGAATTTTTAAATTCGTCATTCATACTTGGGCCTTCGTAGTGTTAAGTATGGATCTAATTCATACTTGGGCGTTCGTAGTGTTAAGTATAGATCTGATTCGTACTTGGGTTGCCGGTGGAGTCAGGTGTGACCAAATAGATCCTTACTTGGTTCGCTGTGTGGATCGCAAGTATGGATCCACAAATTCTCTGTCGAATTTGTGTTCTTCTGTTTTGGCCCTTTTAGTGGAAATATGTGGCAGTAGAAAAAATAATTTGTGTGGTGTACCAGAGCATGGTACAATTTTGAAGACATATATAGGATGCCCCACCAGTTTTTTTTGGTCTTTTGACTGCTTAATTCAAGCCCGTCTACATTAGATCTTCGTTCCAGTATGGAATTGGTTTCCCCTTGCTCCAGAGTTTCGTCCTAGCAGCTCCAATCCAGAGATAGTAATAAGTTTTTTTTTTTGGTTAAGTAGAAATATGTGAATCCAGGTAACTGTTTATTGTTTGTTTAATTCCAAAGCAAAGACAGATATTTTTTTAGAACAATAATTGCTTTCGTTAAAATTCAGACATTGTAACATTTAAAAATTGTAATGCGGTAACATTTGTAAGTTTTATGTAGTATCTCCAACGCCTGGAGTTTGTAAGCGGATGAAACACGTAAGTTTTTTGTATTTTTGTATTTCTTCATGTTGTAACTGTTTGTGGTGACACAAGAATAAATGTTAAATTTTATTTTCTTAACATTTTATTTATTTTTTTTGAACTAACCCTTTTTTGATTTTTATTTGAAAAAGATATGTTTTTGATGTTTTATAATTATTTCCCTAGTTACAACTAGTAGTTGTAATAGGTATAATTAGGCACCTCAAGTGGCGTCCTATATTAAATTCCTTGAGGTGTTTCCTGTTTATTTTTATTTTGTTTATCCCAAGAGGTTAATGACCCCTTTATTTCATTTTTTTGTAGTTGCCCCAATCCAACCCCTTATCTTTTACTTATCCACGACCCCAGCTCTCCTACCAAACCCTGAGTGCCGTTCGCACAAGTAGCGATTATTTTGCTTGCCTTATCTCCACCCCCAGTTGTTTCTTCTCCCAATTTTCTACCCCCTGTATGAATGAACCCTTTGGTAGGCAAAATAACTTTCGTTACACATCAACCTCCTAGGCTCCACCCAGCACAAACAAAAAAGTTTTATTTGAAAACCCCCCTATTTGTGATATATAATTGAAAACACTATAAAAAATGCTATCGAATAGTACAAATAAGAATTATACAGGGTGAAGCAATCATTGTGAAACTTTGGCTTATATGGAAAATTTAATGAGGTTTTTGTTAAACTACAAATTTGTTAAGAATATCAATTAAGTAAATGTTTAAAATGCTTTCCTTTGTTTTGTAAACAATAATACAGCCTATTTTCAAATTCTGCACGAACTTTGGCAAATGTTGTTCTAAACTATAATTCCACTATTTGGAAGAGTGATTTATCATTTAAATGCCGAATATCCTCAAATTTAAATGTACACAGCGGTCCTCGAAAACTTCCCTAGTTACAGGTATAGTAAGACAAGAGATAATATTCACAAACATATTTTTATTTTGTATATTACATTTTATATATCTTCGCTACTGAAATTTTTAATATAACAAATTACTTTAGTAGTAGCTAAATTTAAAAAATTAAATTTATATATAAAAATCCACAAAAGTAAAAGAAGGACTATCGTTTTAAATACTATTTCTGCAAGCCAATACCTACAAAAAAAAAGTAATTAATAAAATTATTTATATACAAAAAATATGATTAAAAATTATATTAAAATAAATATTTTCGGATGTTGAAAACTGGTAAGGCCACGTATTGATAATTATAATACATAAAAATATTAGTATTCTGACGAATTCGGAAAAACGATACTTTGATTTCCAAATGCATAAACAATCAAGACTAAAACACTCTATGGATTTATTACGTCGACTGCAAACAGCGACGGCATATATTGCAAGAAACTATGGAACAGGTACAAAACATTTTAGTCCAGGCTGTGAGGCCGCTCCGTTGGGAAAATGTTTCTGATTCGGTTTTTTCGCGGATTCCGGTTCAAAAATGTCTCCTTTAAACAAATCTGAAGGGTGCCGGGCGAAATTTTTGGGCAGAAATTGTTTAAACAATTTTTTTAAACAAAGTCCAAAAATAATTTTTTTTTAATCTGGAAAACGTTTTTTTTAGGTTTTTTGGGCCATTTTAAACAAAAAAGTCTCTTTTCAGTTTTCTCTTAAGTTGATAGTTTTCGAGTTATAAGCGATTTAAAGTCTGAAAAACGCGAAAATACGCATTTTTGAGGCTTGAAAACACATATGTAAACTATTATTTCTGAGGTTACCAAGTGTCTAAATTAAAGTTTAAACATTCAACTTCAAGATGGTGAAGAGTAATCGGGGCTTATTTGAATTTAGACCGTTGTTTTTTAATTGTTAAGTATGCGCGTACACTCGATTTTTCAGCCGACCGTGCGCCTCTATCGTACTTATGCATAGTTTACATATACACTTACGCAAAAAAACCCGAACAAATCCTTGAAGTTTATTAACATAGTTTTTTCCATAATTTATTTATGTAGGTATTAATTATTGTCATTGGGCTAATTAAATAAATCAATCATCGCAATGTAATAACCGTATATAGTTTTTTTTCGTGAATGCGTGAAAACCATACTCAAAGACCACAAAAATTAAATGTATGGTCAGATATAGTAGTTACTTATTCACTTGGGTCGTTTTTTGTCGAAAGAAATTTAACGTCAGATAGTTAGTGTAAATGTTCGGCGATATTTAGATGAGATATTTCCTGGACGATAAATTGGTAGACATGGTAGAATTGAATGGCCTCCACGTTCACCCGATTTCAATCCTAAAGATTATTTTTATTAGAAATACTTAAAAAATTGAGTTTACAAAACTTAACCAGCAAGTCTTGCAGAGCTAAGGCAACGAATTATCAATGAATCTGGAATAATTTCTAGACAATCATGGAGAAATGTGGTAGACGCCTTCTACCATCGATTAGGGTGCTGTCAACTCAAAAATTAAGCACATTTTGAATACTTAATAACGTAACGACTATGTTAAAAAATGTTCTAAACTATCAATTGTTACGTTGGTTATGTTACAAACATTGGTTATGTTACAATTTCATATTTTTCAGTTTTTTACATGTTTAAGCTTTATGTTGAAATTGGAAATAATCAGTTGGGATTAATTATTATTGACAAAGAATACCTACGATAGGAAAAGTTAGAATTCTTATTGCAATTAGTCTCAAAAACAGTACACAACATAATATGGTTAATCTAACCATCACTTTTTAAATTGACTAATGTTCTAGTTTACTGCGAAGTATTTTTTAACAAAAATTAAAACTGATATTTTAGTACTTAGTATATCTACTTTGAATATAATTATCCTTAGCACGGTAGTATTTGTTTCAGAAAAAAATTATTAAACAAGCATGTGAAAGAAATTTACGTTAAATAATATTATGCAAGAATACTATTTATTAAAAAAATGTAACAAAATATCCAAAATTATGAACAACGGGTTCATGACACATATATTTATTTTATACCTAAAATTGAGTAAAGTGTTAAACAAGTATTAAACATTATAAAAACGGCGTATCTAGGTCACATCATGCGAAATGAAAAATGGAGTTCCTCCAACTTATAATCGAGGGTAAAATTGAAGGCAAGAGAGGAATGGGACGCAAAAAAATGTCCTGGCTCCGAAACATAAGGCAATGGACAGGGATTAACGATATACAATCTCTGATACATATTGCAAGAAATAAAGAATTAATGGAAAATGTGATCGCTAACATCCATTAGTGGATTTGCATCTGAAGAAGAAGAAGAAGTTAAACATTATGGAGAACACCAGTGTAGTTTACCGTGTTTTTTACTACAGCGAAAGGTTTTCTGTCAATTCCGTTAATCGTTTGGAGGTGTAAGTTGGTTGAATGTACTGTAGATACTGTTTATTATTGGTAAAAAAATATATAAGGACCGTATTAACAGGTTGGATGCCTTTGACGCTTATAAGAGTCACTGTGTATTTTGCTCTGGTACCTCCGTCGCTTATAAGCGTTCGGTACGTATTTATATATTTATTTACATTTCTTAGTCGGAACCGCAGTTGTGTTGCATCTATCTTAGTAGGCACTCAAGGAAGGATATTTATTACTCATAAATACACGTGGTTCAAGTTTTTCAATTATTTTTATTGTTTTATTATCATGCAAAATGAATACGTTGAGGCTGGACCTTCTATATGAGACCTGAATATTTTTACATATGGGTGTTGTACGACAAAGAAGGATGCGTGATTATTGGAAAGGGACCCTTTATTTAATAACGCTAGAATTTCTTCTAGTATGAGTAGAAACAGGTTTTTGATGATACTGCAAGCACTTCATTTCTCCAAAAATCCCATACCAAGTGAATCTAGACTTGAAGATAGACTTTACAAAATAAGACCGATAATAAATTTCTTGAACGAAAAAATGGCAGAAATATTTTATCCAGGATGTGAGTTATCTCTAGATGAATCGACGGTTATTTTTCGCGGCAGGCTTATGTTTAAGCAATACATTAAAAATAAAAAACACAAATATGGGATTAAGTTGTATTTATTAACAAACCCTAGAGGTATTGCTCAGAAATTTGCTGTATATACTGGTATGTTAGACGATACTGGCGATCAAGGAAATTCTGAAAAAGTTGTCCTACATTTAATAGATGGATTATTAAATGTTGGCCATCATATTTATATGGACAACTATTACACAACAGTTTTTCTTTAGCCAGAAATCTAATTAAGAATCAGACTCACTGCACCGGTACACTTCGGTCTAATAGAAAAATGACACCCAAAGCTGTTATTTCAACTAAGCTAAAGAGGGAGAAACCATTGCGCTATATGCTAAAGAAGTAATGATAGAAAAGTGGAAGGATAAGAGGGATGTTTTATATATTTCAAATAAATATGTAAATAAAATGGTTGAAGTAGAAAATAAAAGAAAACAAAAAGTTACTAAGCCATTGCCTGTCGCCGAATGCAATAAATATATGTCAGGTGTAGATCACCTTGATCAAATGCTTTCATACTATCTTCACGAAAGAAAAACAATAAGATGGCCAAAGAAACTTTTTTTCCCTATTATGGACATGATGCTCAATATTGATTTTCACTTATATAATATATATTCTGGACAGAAAATGTCATCATTTGATTTTAGAATGGAATCATAAATGAACTTTTACCTCCTTATGAGAATTGATGGATTCGACCGTTACTTGATGGAAATTCATTTTATGTAACAATAAAACACTGAATTCTGAAGACTCTGAAACTGAACACAATTCGTCATCCCATCCAACACAACATAAACTGGCAGCTTATCATAGTATGTTACATAGATTAACAGAAATTCCGATGTCAAAATACAACTTTGAGACAGAATTAAATATAATTAAGCAGATAGCAGTAAACAACGGATACAACGAACAAACAATTAATAAAATGTTTAAATCAAAAAACTACACAAGAAAGCCCCGAAATTAGTATTTCCACCACCAGAGAAAAAACCCAGTAATTGCTGCTCGATTACATATACAGGCAAAATAACAACAAAAATTGCCAAACACATAAAAAAGAAAGGAATAACACCAGCTTTCCGAACAAATAACAACCTAGGCAAATATATTAAAAATAACAAGAGCCAAAATAAAAAACACTTAAATAGTGGTGTGTACAAACTTCAATGTGGCGACTGCCCAAAAACTTACATCGGTCAAACTGGTAGAAACTTTGATAAACGAATAGCAGAACATAAAAGGGCTTTCAAAAATAGAAAAACAGATTCGACATACGCACTTCACCTTCTAGATCATAATCATTCTTTTAATGACAAATTTAAAATTCTTCACATTTAAAATAAAGGCCTTAAGCTATCTTTGTTAGAATCTATGGAAATCAACAAATTAAAAAACACAGATATAATTCTGAATGACCAACTTGAGACAAACAGTTTTCCCCTCCTCAACCTATTTCATTAGAGACTATAAATTTGTAAACCCAAGCCAAAATAGATCACTTGAGAAAGGCAATCAGCCGAAACAGCTGTAGTGATAATATTTAAAATAAATTTTGTGGAAGTTTGAAAACAAAGTTTTCAGTGTTTTATTGTTACAGAATTTAAGTAAAAAAACATACGGACGGATACAACATACGTGTGCGAAACTTGTCCTGGAAATCCAGGATATTGTCTAAATTGCAGCATCATAATTCACAAATAGAATATAGCAGTCAAAGTTTTATTAATATTAAAGTTTGTTTTTGTTACATGTTTTAAAATAAATAATGTTTTGCTGTAGAGTATAGGCAACGCTTATAAGCGTCAACGGTACACGGATATGAATGCCGAAACTCAGTGCCACTGCCGCTTATGAGCGTCAGTTTTTTTTTGCTTTTTCTTAAATATTTGAAATAGCAATTACATATAAAATACCATTATACTTATTAGCAACGGCATATCGTTTTTTCTATTTTTTTTAAATAGAAACGTAAAAGTAAGTTACAAAATAGCGGCATCCGACCTGTTAACAGAGAAATATATGTTTTGGTCATATGTTACAAGGCTGTAACATTATTTTTTCCTGGAAAACTTAAACGTAGTACTTTATAACTTTCTTTATAATTGTTGTTACTCTATAGATAAAAACATTAACTTACTTCATCAGTTGTTTTTTTGCTTTTGATCCAGTTAGACCAGGTTTGGCTCGTAAAAGATAAGCTTCTATACCAATTTTACCCAATTTGACATACTCGTATATTTCTTCTGTAGTCCAACTATTGTGTTTAAATGAAAATACAGAATCTTCTTCTTTTAAAGTTTTTTGCATGTTTATAAATTTATCATTTAAAAACCAGTACCTGGTATTCATAAAATGAATCAGTACAATAGATGCTATATAAATTTTTCTCTGTAAATTAACCAACCTAAAATTAAAAATAAAGAAAATTATTTAATTAGCTTTTAAAATAAATAAAATGTTTTACCCAAAAATGCAACTAATAAACAAAAGAAGAAAACAACTAGCAAAAAACAAACGCCTTACCCAAGAATACGTAAAGCTAAATAAAACAATTAGGAAAGAATTAAAAGCTGATCAAAACATGGAGCGAGAACTATATTCAAGATTCAAGATTTATTTAACCCTACAATGCATCATGTAGCATATCTGCTACATATAAAATATTGAAGAGTTCCATTTTCATTAAATGATTTATGATACACCTAAATGCACAGTGTAACATACTATATACACACTTTAAATCGGGTTTCGCTTTACTGGCAATAGATGGCGCAGCAAGTACAGAATTTTAATTCTAAAATGTCAGCTGTTGTTTTGGTGGTTGATGTGGGATCTGACATAGTAAATTTGTGTATTTTTGAATATTTGGAGCGGTTTTGGCAGGCAAACTCGATAAATTTGAAAAAATTAGGTAAGTACTTAAACTATTTGTTATGTCAGTGCGTATCCAGAATTCATAAAAATAAATTACCGGGTGTTCTAATAAAATGTAGTAAATATGCTACAACATGCATTTTATGCTTTTTTTTAATCTCAGGACGATGGACAAAAAAAAAAGTATTTTCGAAAACCTTTGACAAACCAGGAGTTGGAAAAGTTGGCAGAATGTTTTCTTGAAAGTGACGATCATCTGGAAGAATTGGACGAAGATAATTTAAGTGAAAACGTTGATAATTGCTTAGAATGGACTGCTCAAAAGTTTCAAGATTGAAAATACAATTATTTTTGAGCATGAACTAGATGATCTAGAACTAACCAATTCGAACTTTGAAAATATTAATGAGGCAGATCTTGTCGACGAAATAATACCTGAGAATGAAGACGCGAACGGCGCAGAAGAAAATATATTTACACTGGATAAAGATGCATTCAAATCTATTTGCTGGAAGCAAGCATCTTTTGAATAAATTGTTCAGGGTACAACATTTAGAGGTGATGAAAATCTCCCAACAAATATAATGGACTTATCAACACCCTATCAGTTCTTCAGGTAAAATCTAATAAGTCAATTATTCCTTTTGCAGTTTAGTATGTACCTAATTTGTTGATTTTTTTCCAGATAATTTTTTACCGATGAGCTATTTGTGAAAATCACTTAAGAATCGAACCTCTACAGCAATCGAAAAAATATTTCAAAACCGGCGAATATAACGACTGGAGAAATAAAGAAGTACATTGGTATCTGCATTTATATGTCAGTAATAAATATGTCAAATATCAGAAGATACTGGTCCGAGGAATATGGATTTGAAAAAATAAAAAACACGATGAGTATCAATCGATTTGAAAAAAATCGTGAAATGCTACACTTCAATGATAACACAAAATGCTTCCTAAAGGTCATGCGGATCATGATCGTCTGCATAAATTGCGGCCAGTTATTGACTCTTTAAACGAAACATTCCAAACTGTTCCATTTAAAAAGTGTCTATCTGTAGATGAGCAAATGTGTGCAACAAAGGCCCGACACTACATGAAACAGTACATGCCACTAATGCCTCACAAATTGGGCTATAAATTATTTGTTTTATCTGTTGTTACGGGATATGCGTACCAATTTGAAATATACTCGGGCCAAGAAAATTCTGAGAAGTACCGTTTTCCAAATGAGCCTGATCTTGGGGCTTCAGCAAACGTTATAATACGCTTGTGCCGGTCAATTCCCAAAAACTGCAATTACATTGTCTATTTTGATAATTATTATAAAGAAATTCCTCTGATGTCATTTTTATTCTCAAATGGCATTCTTTCGTTAGGAACAGTAAGAAGGAATCGTTTGCCCAACTGCAAATTTTCTAGTGATACTGTTTAAAAAAAAAACCGCGAGGTTCTTTCGAAGAATATGTAACTTCTTTTCAAAATGCTCCGTTTGTCTCAGTTTTTATGGCTGGATAATAAAGCAGTCACATTACTTTCTACATACATGGGTTCTTCTCCAGTTCAAGAAGTGGAAAGGTTTGATAAAAAAGAGAAAAAAACGAGCGGAAGTATATATACGTCACATACATCACACATGGACATTATACCATGTGCAAACTTAGTGTTAGAATATAACAAATATATGGGCGGAGTGGATCTTTTAGATAGTATTTTAGGGCGTTACAAAATCTCAATGAGAACCAGAAAATGGTACTGCAGAATTTTTTATCATTTAGTTGACATTACTATCATCAACGCATGGCTACTCTATCGGATGGTAGAGAGGCAAACATGAAACAGTACATGCCACTAATGCCTCACAAATTGGGCTATAAATTATTTGTTTTATCTGTTGTTACGGGATATGCGTACCAATTTGAAATATACTCGGGCCAAGAAAATTCTGAGAAGTACCGTTTTCCAAATGAGCCTGATCTTGGGGCTTCAGCAAACGTTATAATACGCTTGTGCCGGTCAATTCCCAAAACTGCAATTACATTGTCTATTTTGATAATTATTATAAAGAAATTCCTCTGATGTCATTTTTATTCTCAAATGGCATTCTTTCGTTAGGAACAGTAAGAAGGAATCGTTTGCCCAACTGCAAATTTTCTAGTGATACTGTTTAAAAAAAAACCGCGAGGTTCTTTCGAAGAATATGTAACTTCTTTTCAAAATGCTCCGTTTGTCTCAGTTTTATGGCTGGATAATAAAGCAGTCACATTACTTTCTACATACATGGGTTCTTCTCCAGTTCAAGAAGTGGAAAGGTTTGATAAAAAAGAGAAAAAACGAGCGGAAGTATATATACGTCACATACATCACACATGGACATTATACCATGTGCAAACTTAGTGTTAGAATATAACAAATATATGGGCGGAGTGGATCTTTTAGATAGTATTTTAGGGCGTTACAAAATCTCAATGAGAACCAGAAAATGGTACTGCAGAATTTTTTATCATTTAGTTGACATTACTATCATCAACGCATGGCTACTCTATCGGATGGTAGAGAGGCAAACATGAAACAGTACATGCCACTAATGCCTCACAAATTGGGCTATAATTATTTGTTTTATCTGTTGTTACGGGATATGCGTACCAATTTGAAATATACTCGGGCCAAGAAAATTCTGAGAAGTACCGTTTTCCAAATGAGCCTGATCTTGGGGCTTCAGCAAACGTTATAATACGCTTGTGCCGGTCAATTCCCAAAAACTGCAATTACATTGTCTATTTTGATAATTATTATAAAGAAATTCCTCTGATGTCATTTTTATTCTCAAATGGCATTCTTTCGTTAGGAACAGTAAGAAGGAATCGTTTGCCCAACTGCAAATTTTCTAGTGATACTGTTTAAAAAAAAACCGCGAGGTTCTTTCGAAGAATATGTAACTTCTTTTCAAAATGCTCCGTTTGTCTCAGTTTTATGGCTGGATAATAAAGCAGTCACATTACTTTCTACATACATGGGTTCTTCTCCAGTTCAAGAAGTGGAAAGGTTTGATAAAAAAGAGAAAAAACGAGCGGAAGTATATATACGTCACATACATCACACATGGACATTATACCATGTGCAAACTTAGTGTTAGAATATAACAAATATATGGGCGGAGTGGATCTTTTAGATAGTATTTTAGGGCGTTACAAAATCTCAATGAGAACCAGAAAATGGTACTGCAGAATTTTTTTATCATTTAGTTGACATTACTATCATCAACGCATGGCTACTCTATCGGATGGTAGAGAGGCAAACATGAAACAGTACATGCCACTAATGCCTCACAAATTGGGCTATAAATTATTTGTTTTATCTGTTGTTACGGGATATGCGTACCAATTTGAAATATACTCGGGCCAAGAAAATTCTGAGAAGTACCGTTTTCCAAATGAGCCTGATCTTGGGGCTTCAGCAAACGTTATAATACGCTTGTGCCGGTCAATTCCCAAAAACTGCAATTACATTGTCTATTTTGATAATTATTATAAAGAAATTCCTCTGATGTCATTTTTATTCTCAAATGGCATTCTTTCGTTAGGAACAGTAAGAAGGAATCGTTTGCCCAACTGCAAATTTTCTAGTGATACTGTTTAAAAAAAAACGCGAGGTTCTTTCGAAGAATATGTAACTTCTTTTCAAAATGCTCCGTTTGTCTCAGTTTTATGGCTGGATAATAAAGCAGTCACATTACTTTCTACATACATGGGTTCTTCTCCAGTTCAAGGAGTGGAAAGGTTTGATAAAAAAGAGAAAAAACGAGCGGAAGTATATATACGTCACATACATCACACATGGACATTATACCATGTGCAAACTTAGTGTTAGAATATAACAAATATATGGGCGGAGTGGATCTTTTAGATAGTATTTTAGGGCGTTACAAAATCTCAATGAGAACCAGAAAATGGTTACTGCAGAATTTTTTATCATTTAGTTGACATTACTATCATCAACGCATGGCTACTCTATCGGATGGTAGAGAGGCAAACATGAAACAGTACATGCCACTAATGCCTCACAAATTGGGCTATAAATTATTTGTTTTATCTGTTGTTACGGGATATGCGTACCAATTTGAAATATACTCGGGCCAAGAAAATTCTGAGAAGTACCGTTTTCCAAATGAGCTGATCTTGGGGCTTCAGCAAACGTTATAATACGCTTGTGCGGTCAATTCCCAAAAACTGCAATTACATTGTCTATTTTGATAATTATTATAAAGAAATTCCTCTGATGTCATTTTTATTCTCAAATGGCATTCTTTCGTTAGGAACAGTAAGAAGGAATCGTTTTGCCCAACTGCAAATTTTCTAGTGATACTGTTTAAAAAAAAACCGCGAGGTTCTTTCGAAGAATATGTAACTTCTTTTCAAAATGCTCCGTTTGTCTCAGTTTTATGGCTGGATAATAAAGCAGTCACATTACTTTCTACATACATGGGTTCTTCTCCAGTTCAAGAAGTGGAAAGGTTTGATAAAAAAG